TTTTCTTTAATATACTTTTTATTTTATGTTGGAGTACTGGAATGATTTTAAACAATCTGTGTTTCGAGACACTGTCATTTTTTTTTTTTTTTTCTGAGATTGTAGTATTTGGTCAAATCTTTCATCAAGACACTGACTACACAGGATACTTAGTAGTAGTATACTATTATACTTAATAGTCAAGGTTAATGATTGTGTATTAATAAAAGTGTACTGTTTTTCCCTTAGTCATTCCACACTGAGCTTATCAGTTGTTAGTAGACTGTTCTTTTCTATCTCTGCTGATTGTCCCTGAAGTTGTTCTGTAATCTTCTGACCTGTCTTGTCTTCTTGTTTTGAGTAGCTGCAAACATCCTGACCTTGTTCCAACATGACATGATCTTTACTGGATCGAGGTTGGAGCTTGGCCTAAAAAAAAATCACATCTGTAAGTCTAAATTTATTAAGATATTGAGAGATTATAGATTATGTCATAGTATTTAAGAGGCAAACAGAATATCCATACACAAACATTATAACAGGGAGATATGTGCAGTCAATGTTGTGTCTCTTTAGTCACCAGTTTTCACTGTTTCAATTTGACCTGACTGTGTTGCTTATGTCAGCTTCTCCTGGAAAATAAAATAGTTTATAGTGGTTAAAGAAAGTGTGGCTGTCATTTAGTTATATATCTTTAAAAGATTGCAACAAAGACATTAAAAAAAACATTAAAAATACAATTACAAGATTTACATTTAAAACAGCATGTCAAAATAAATGAATGAATAAAACCACATGTAACTTAATGTTCTTTATGAATCATTTTCGAAAGCTTTCTCTAGGGGGAAGCATTGCATTGCAAGTCGACTGACTCTTCATCCCTGAAACTTCAGCAGCCGCGCGTCCTGACATCTCCCGAATGACACATTTCACCTGTACTGTAACAAATGTGAAAAAACTTGCCCTTTCATCACTTGATTGCTTCCTCATGACATTGTAGTCATGCACTTGCATCTTTTGCACACACAAAATTGGTAAAGAATTGTGTTTGGTCAAGTAATATGCAATAAGTGAAAAAGGTTGCCAGTGCTTCAGTGTATTTGTTTGAATCAATCTCCTTAACATGAAGAAAGCATCCAGTTGGTCTTCTGGTAATATTAGAGTCCAGGCTAAGTCCTCAGATCATCTCTGTCCATAAAGTGACAGAGATGGATGACAGCTACAGTTCAGCTTTGATCTATGTCAACACCTTGAGTACAATGCTCTCATTATGGAGTCCGACACAGACTCGATATTGTGAAGAAAGGGAAAGCCCTGGACCTTTGTGAAGTGGGTCAGGTCTCTGAGAGGGCTAGCTATGTCAGCAGAATGATGTGATTTGATAATTCCCATAGCCTATGAACCCCCAGAGAACCAAAGAAACCTTTTATGAGCCTACAGACACTCTAATTATCCCGTGATCCTTTGTCTGGCGCTGAATACAAGACATTTCTAGGGTCAGATTGAATGTCATGTGTATGTTGGTTTGAATTAGACTCAAAGTTGAAAACCCATGAAACATTTCGGTCAAGCAGAGTAACCCTCATGAAAATTTGTTATCCTGCAAAACCCTGCAAGGAGAAATTAACATGAAGATTGAGTGCCGAACAAAGTTTCTATATGGACTCTTTCCCAGAACTGGCAGGATCATTTACAGTTATGCTTATGAATCATTTATTTTTATTTTTTTATTTGCTAGCATGCATGTAAGAGTTTGCATTCATAGCCGGAAACACTGGAAACAAGCACCACTTCTTAATGATCTCCCATGTTGACTTCCCACTACTGTGATTAATCATTACTGAAGGTTACTTAAGGGTACAAGGAAGTAATAATGATAATAATAATCTTATACTTTATTGATCCCGCGAGGGGAAATTCGTTTTTACACTCTGTCTAGTTAACATGCTACACAAACATAGGCCGAAATACACACACATGCACAAACAGGATCCTATGGACATGCACTAATGGAGAGGTCTCAGAGTGAGGGGGCTGCCCACAGTGGGCGCTCCTGAGCTGGTGGGGGGGGTTAGTTGCCTTGCTCAAGGGCACCTCGGCAGTGCTCAGGAAGTAGACTGGCACCTCTCCAGCTACCAGGCCAATTTCTGGACTTAAAGTAGCGCAGGTTATCAATGCTTCTTCGTTGACAGTATAAATGTTTTAGTTGTGTTATCTTAAGATGGGTCCACATACAAAACCTCTAAATGCTGCAAAAAAATCAATACAAATGTGTTAAAACTTTGTACGGTGGGACTCACAACCTGAGAAATGAGGGTGTAAAGTTACACATCCTTGGACTAGGAGTACAGTTGCAAGTTGAAATGCCCCACATGGAAATGTGTGTGTGTGTGCATTTGTGTATGTGGGTGACTGTTGTAAATGTGCAAGCCTGTACTCGTCTGTGTGTAAAATCTGTGATGTCATTGCAAGGATACGGCTGATCCCTCACTGGCCAATCGGTGTAAAGCATGGAAGTGTCATGGGAAGATGGTCAGTGGGTGATTAAAAACCAAGTGGGGCTTAAAGCCCTAAAGCAGTCTGTAAAACATTGATCTGTTGGAGTAAGTCAGTGGTGTCTAGTGTTGTCTGGAGTAGTGTCAAAGCTCAAAAGCCTGTCTGAAGCTTCTCTAGTCAGACAACTATAGGTTTATACAGCTCGGTGTGTGACCCAGCCAGAAACAAAAAACTATAAATGAGGAGGTTATAGCATCATCTAACAACAGGCAGGTCTTATGCATCTGGATCAAGGCCCAAAAACCCCCTAAAGTCCTAAAGTATGAGCTTTAAGACAAGACTTTGATCACTTTCAGGAAACATATTCAAGAGAAAGACAATGGTGTTCTTAAACTCATAATATTCATTTGTCTGGAAGATCTCTGCAAAGTCTCTTAGCTTGGCATCAACAGTAGGATTAAACTTTCCAACTGAGACAATATTTTAAAGTTATTTATGATTTAGATCATTGTTTAGAGGCGTCTATAGTGCAGTTCAGGGAGTAAATGGGCTCCAGTTGAGCAACGATTTGCTGTAGCGATACTATTGGCAGGTTTTCGACTATATTCTGCAGGCTGGTTTTAGTGTTTATTATCATACTACAGTATGTCACGAGCACTCCTCCACACATGCGCTCTCATTTTCTAGTAATCATCAGCCCGTTGACACCAACTAGTCACATCTATCCAATAGCACTGCTCCAGCTCCCTCCCTCATTTTTAGCCTATCATATTCCTGCCATCTTTTTTAAATATGGTTTTCTCTTCCACCAGTTCATTCATCATCAATCCATCACAGTTTCATCGCCCTCTTCATCCCATCAGCCTCTGATCATGTCATCAGTGATTATCTGGTCAACCCCAGTCCTCGCAGTTTGGTCAGCCTCTTCATCCCTTCAGCCGAGACATCAACATCAGCTAACGCCTCCACCACCATTATCTGGACTCCACCGGGGAGATAAATCTAGCTGCTGCTTATGGCAGACATCTTCAATGGCCCTATCTCCCTGTCGAGTTCAAGCGCCAAAGATTCTCTGACAATAATTAAATATCACATATTTTGAATAAATATACATCATTGATTAATTTACTTGTCTCTCCTGATTGAAGTTGGTAGATTGGGAAAAATCCTTCATATGACTTAATGTCCAGCAACCTATTGCAAACTTGCTTTAATTCATGAAGATGAACCTTAAAGAGGTAACATAGGGTCCCATGTCAGATTTACTTTATGGAGGTTTTTGTTCCTCAAATTACTGAAATCTGTTTCCCTTATTAAAGAATGAGCTCACAAAATACCTCTGACCTGGTGAAGGTCAGAAAAATGATTACTTCCTTCTCGTATTTAGAACAGTTTTAGCACTTCTCTACTAGACGAGAGTCTTAAATAAGACTGTGGGAGGACGCGTAGGACAGTAAGATAATCAAAGTTCAAAATTTTGCATTTATTAACAATGACGCATTTTTGTCACTTAAAATGGAAAAAAAGACACTTTCAAGTTTTCACCATTAGCAATTCCATATTATTATTAATATTAGTAACCAACAATATGCTTTTCTTTTTCCTCAGAACCTAAAAACTGACAAAGCAATAAGACACCATAAGAATCCCAATTTAAGATAGAGACTCCACTGAAAGTGCTATGAAAAAGAAAAAGAATAATCCCAGAGAAGTATCAGAGGTATGGGAATTGTCTTTTTCTTTTCTTGTGAGAATGCAAACTGAATGTTGGTTTTGAACCCCCTCCAGTCCCTGAGCATTCTCCTTTGAGTTAACGTTCAGTCTTGTTTAGTTATTATCACTATACCTCTTCAGCTCTTTTGCTTTCTTTATCTGGACTCCTTTTCTTTTTCTGGATCGTTTGTACAGTTTTTTCACCATCCATTTTCCCTACCACCTAACATTTATTTTATCCTTTGAGATTGTTACTGATGACAGACTTAATGGCAAATGAAACCAAGAATTGTAGGTTACTAATCTCATCTCCGCTGTGTGTTTTTTCTATAACTATTGTTTAATCTAAATTTAATTCATGTTATGTTAAAGCAAAACAGTTTGGTATTGTCAGTGTTACAATAGCTGCATGGCTCTACGGATAAAGTCTATCAGTTCTTTTTTTGTCCACTGAAATATCCAAGCAAATATCACTATAAAATGTGTTAGTCATTTATAGTGCTAAATTGGAGAATTGTAATGTATTATTTTATATTGTTTATTATTTTAAAAGTGGAAAAACTTTTTACTCACGAAAGAGTTATAACAGTTTCAATGTTCAGATCATACTGCATTTCAACACTTCATCTTTCCGTAACTCTACTTCAAAGCTCTGATATATCTCATTATAAGCAAGCAAACAAGTCTGAATATGCCTCTCCGCTGTGTCAGTGTTCATATCTTCACGCTCAGTCCTGGCTTGAACTTCCAAATGAGTCACATTCCTGTGTGGGACGACCACAGGTACGATTCTGCTGAAGAGAGAGGAGAAATTCAAATAAGCATGAAAAAGAGAGACGGGTGTGAGCAAAGAAGGAGAAAGAAAACAATGTGAAAGGCAAGGAAACAACAACAACAAAGAAAGACCATGGGCGTTCAACACTACTGGCTGCTGCTGTTGTTGGTCGACTGCCGGGAACGGATTACAGGTAGTGTGGTGGTGGAATATGCAGATTACAGATTTGTGTGTGTGTGTGTGTGTGTGTGTGTGTGTGTGTGTGTGTGTGCGTGAGCGTGTTTTTGTATGTTTGCCGCTCTGTCTGGGTGTACATGTTGATGTGTGTGTATAAATGGGCAGCTTGTGTTTGCTGTGGTGGACTGGCCTCTTCTGGCCTCAAACATGTCTCAACCTGCCCTCTCAGGAATGCTGCAAATAGGCACCTTCATGCAAACCATGCTTATTAGGCATAACATTTGGATTATTTATTTGTAATTCGATGGTACACCCATTTGTTCATTGTTTAGGAAAGTGTAATTCACCTAGGAGGGTCAACCATGGGTAAAAACCCCTACATGAAAGCACAAGCCTCTCCAGCACTTTCACAATCGACCTTCAGCAGGTGACAGATCACACAATTTAGTCTGGTAATGGCAAGAGTATGATTTACAGGTATTACGTTTTATATTAAAGCTGTGTTTGTCTTCTCTGATGCCGTAGTCAGAAACATTCATGTTCAAAAGAACGGAAAGAGCTACTAGTTTAAATTGAGCAATATCCTAATCGTGGACATGGATGTGCACACCTCAGTCTGAATATTTACTTTTCAAGATGTTTTTTTCTTCTCAAAATAGCAGATACATTGCCAGTTCAATAAAGCTGTCATATTTACTGAATGAAACATCAGAATCAAGTCTGATTTGGGTGATTCATCTTTAATATTGAAAGAAATCATATCTTTTTATCCAGTATTAGATCATATTTTCCCAACTGATTTTCCAAATGACTGTCTTACTACCCTCGTCAAATTTTTAATTTTTTTAATTTGACTCTTCTTTACAATTATTTCCGGGCTCATAATGATGAGATTTTTCAAGAAAAAAAGAATAAATAAATATAAGAATGAACAAGTCAAAGTCTAAAATCTCTCACTGACCTAAGTCCTGCCATAATCCCAAATGAAATCCATACATGTAAACATTTGATGCCTTAATTATGTACTTAATCTTTTTTTAATGACTTTTTAAAATGTTTTTATGTGCGGCAAATTCCCCTGGGGGAAAAAAAAAGGTTTTCATCATTCATTCATTAAATAATCCCCCCCCCCCCAAAAAAAAAAAAAAAATAGAGAATAGGACTAATCATGTTTCTGTCAATTGTTCTATGTTGAATTGTAAAGAGATCATTGATTAAGATAAAAGTTTTTATAATGGGCATAAAGGCTGATTTTACAATGTGAGGTGTTGCACTATCGTTTACTGAGGGAACAGGAGTGAGTGAGCATCCCTGCTTTATGAAGTAACTGGAGTGTCTTTCTTTTCATCAGTAAATGGCATCAGTCCATTTATAAAGCATTATGAGGGCTTGTCATACGACAAGGAGGATCTGCACAAGAGGCACCTGAGAGCCAGGAGAGCCACACAACATCAGGAACACACACTGAAGCTAGACTTTACTGCTTTCCACAGGTAGGTTTCTTCATCAGTAGTTATATGTTCACAGCCCTCTTTCACCATACATGCATGGACAATATTTTTTATATAATATTTTTACAGCATGTGTTTATTTGAACACACTATTATTCCTGTAACAAATTACAAACATGACTGTCCTAAGTTATCCCTAGTTGCTTTCTATGGATAAGTCTTCATACCTTCCACTTCACTACAAAGCTTTGACCACATCTGTAAAAAATATATTTTTTCAGAACCTTTCGTCTGCGTTTGAAACGCAATTCAGCAGGGTTTTCTGAAAGTTTCAAGACGGTCTTTGAGAATGGTTCCACATCAGCTGACCTCTTCCACATATATTCGGGAACACTAGAAGGTGGGTAATGTGGTGATTTCTGGACTGCTTATACTGAGAGAATTTACTTTGATCAAAGCTTAATCAGTCTTGTTTATAGTCTTTTGGTTTGGAGAAAACATCTGAAAAAAACATTTGGACAAACATCTGCTTGGGCTTAATCCTCTTGATTACTTAAATTTTAAGATCAAAGTAAAACTTAATGGACTATGTGTAATTCCTCACTATCTAGGCTGTCTGTCTGTCTGCATTTTCACCTCCATGACCCTTACATGTAATCTCTCTCGACCGCTCTTGCAGGTGAACATGGCTCAGCCTGCCATGGCTCTGTGTTACAGGGTCAGTTTGAGGGAACCATCCACACAGACAACGGGACTTATTACGTAGAGCCAGTGCATAGATACAACAGCAACAAGACAGATCACCACTCGATGATCTACCATGAGGATGACCTAGGTAAGGCTAACTTTTTATTTATATAGTCTAGCTTATTAGGCTCTGTTGTATCTTTTGATCTTGGATGACAAAAATAAATAGTAAAGTCTGTGAGTATGCAGCCTGGACCCTCACAGAAAAATGCAACTCTGTAACAAATCCTCATTGCTTTGTTCTAAGGCAGTACAGCCCCAAGCTGTAAAGCAAACTGAGTAACAAGAGGTCAGGAAAACTATGCCCCCCTAACTCGTGAGGTAAAAGTACAAGGGCAAGGGCAAGTTAGGACATGGCTTTGTTAAAGGAGAGGATAATCGCATGGAAAAAAGTTTCAACAACAACTAATCAAAGCAAACTATTGGCTGGCCGGCTTTTGATTTGGCCAGATGGTGACCAACCCTGAGAGCGGTCAAAATGTTATGCGCATGTAAGTGTGTATGAGCATGTGTATTTCTCTGCTTGCTTCCCTGACAGCATGTGTTAACTTTCATCAGTACAAGATTTTCCGAGAAAGCATTTTACCGGAATACGTTTGTACAATAACCCCCAAGTGTATAAGTTTACACAGATGCCATGGCTGCCTTCCTCCCCACTCCTCCCACCATTTATTCAACCCCTTTCACAACTGCAGTCCCATTTACATTAGATAGTGTTGCAGCTGACAACATCCTGTTCTCTCATTCACAGGCCTGCAAATCTGCAGGAAACTGTGAAAGATTTGGTACATGATATATCCACAAGACAATCAATGCTTTTCCATAGATGTTAAATTAGGACGTGTGTGCTTCCACGTCCTGTGGTTGTTGTCTAGGGGCAACAAAGGTTCCCCTGGGATATGGTGTCCTGATGTCTTTCAAATTTGGGACACAGGTCACAGTCCAGGAGGGACATTTTCCAAGAAATACAGTATTAAACAACAGGACGCTTGGTCTTCTAACAAAAAATTACAACATATATGATAAACAGCACAAAAAATGAATAACGGGCGAACCATCTAGGACTAGATAATGTTTGTCCATCCACCTATGAGTCTTGTTCTGTTTAAACGGTTCCATCCCGTTTAAAGGATGTTTTTTTCTGCCACTCTTGCAAAGTGAAGGAAAGAGTCAGTCCTCTGCAAAAAAAAAAATAGTACACATACTTCGGTTGAGAGTTGCTTACAAGTTTGATTAGATAGCCTTTGCTATCGTTTTGTGGTATATAAATTCAGTTGATTGATTTATCTAATGCTTGATTGTAATTGGATGTATCCTGCGTGACATCATCCACTGGTTTTTGAAACATTGTTTTATAGTGTGGAGTATTGGCTAGTTTTTTAGCCAGAAGTGACCGTATTTGGTTGAGAGGGTAGAGCTGGAGAGGAGTGGGGGGTTAACAAATGGAAGATTTCACTAATCTGAAACATTCCAAAAAAAGAAAAAAAACACCATCATTTAGAATACAACTTAGCAATAGGCTTTTAATGAAAGCAAGAAAATATTAGGCCTAGTTCAGCTATAAACAAGGCCACATGTGCTGGAGTAAGCACAAACGGTATTTTACCAACATGTCCAATCATGCCAAGTGCTTTCACCTTATTAATTGAAGATATGTTAGAGGATGTTTGTACATTTTTATCCTGTGAATTATTATTGTCTCAGATTTACATTTACAATCATAATCATGGGTGTGGTTGTGTGCGCGTGTGCGCGTGTGCGCGTGTGGGCGCGTGTGTGCGACCTTCCCTTGGAGGTTTCAGTTCATACGATCATGGTAACTATTAACCTCACACTTCCTTGAGAGAAATCAAAAGTAATGTACACATTTTGAATAACTCTAATCAAGTTAACTGATTCTATATTACCTCACTAGAAAAACTTCACTAACACTTTGATTGAGACTCATACATACAAATTCACCATCAGTCAAAAAAAAGAGTCAGCGCATTCTGATAAATGCAACACAAGATTGTCAGGATTTTTTTTAAAGTTGAAATAAAAAGAGCATAATTTTCCTGACAGATACAATATTATTTGTGGTGGAAAGCTGCTGTTAAGAGTTTGCATCATTAACAGAATGAGGCTTAAGGGAGGATATCCTATACAGGGGGATAAATCCCCCTCCAAGCCTGAACTATGTTAGAAACACTTTGAAATAATGATATGTCAGGTTTAATCTTTGCATCAACATATACAGACTCTTAAGTGCTTACTTTTCCTGCATTTAGCTGACTGAAGGGGCACTTAAGGGCACTTGGCCTGATGGAATGGCCCGTCAGGGTGCACATAGGCAATAACTGGGTGCAAAAATGAAAGTATCCCAATGCTGGGAAAATATTTTCAATTTGATAGTTAGGCAGTTTAATTGTTTTGAAACACACAAACATTCCCAACAGATTCAGTGAGACTTTTTCTTAGCTTTTTTTTTGGCAAAACACTAATAAGTAATAACAATCTTTAGCAAGTTCTGCAGCTCAGAAGAGAAACAATAATGTTCTTCAGAACAATGTAGAAGAAAAGACAACAAGAGATGAAGAGAGACAGAGAAAGTGAGAAGACAGGCATGTAAAAAAAAAGGTCTGGAAACAATTCTGTGAGTGGGAAGACCCCACATTTAGGCCTCCAAATCCACTCACACAGCCCACCCTCATGCCATGTATAGAACAAATCCCAGATTTGTGATTGGCCAGAAGACTTTTGTAGGATGGTGTGATCTAATCATGTGTTGCTTGTCCCTCACTGTAAGCCCAAATCTGATCCAGGGAGATGTAGGCTACTGGGGCAGAGTAGCTTACATACACAGACATGCACATACATACTCATGCACATATGTATATACATGCTCTAACTCTTGAAGTTCTGACATCACCAGTTACAAATATCATGTGAAAGTTATTATTTTGGCACATGACTCTAATACAATTTTTGAGATTTTGAAAATTAATTTGTCCATTTATTGATGTAGCTTGAATAGTTTTGGTCAAGTTTACGCATTTTAAATTAGCTGTCATCTCAAAATTGGCACAATGAAATGTTTTATTTTGATTATTTCACAGTTTTATGGAACATATTACAGCAGTGTACTTTACATTAGATCCTTTAGAATTAGATTCTCCACAGTCCTTGACCATGCACCACGTTCACTCATAATGTTGCAATGAAGCACTTTTGTCCCTTGCGATTTTTGTGGAATTCTGGGTGTTTGTCAGTGCAACAAGACAGGCCAATTTATTCAAATGCCATGCTCTCCTCGACTGCAAGCACATGATCATTTCATAAATTTGAAGGAGACAGGCGTTCCAGTGGTTTTGCAATATGCAGACGATGATGTTGTTTCAGTAAAATCAAACTAGCACATATTACAGCATATGGCTCTCCCATGGCTCCAACTCAAGGCCACAGCTCTGATTTCCAAATGTTTTTTTTTTAAGTGTCTGAGAATGTGAGGGTGCTCCTGCCAAACTCAGCTGCTTGCCATGCTGATCATTATGAAGCTACTAATGGATATCTATATAGACATGTACTGTAAATTGTTTGGTATACAAAATGGTTAGTATTTAACCCATAGTTTAAACGGCACCATCTTGAAATTGAAGAAAAATAAAATGTAACATTATCATGGCAGACCTCGCCGACGGACCTGGGAAACTTTGCACACCAAAAACTTTAGTTTGGTGGCCTCAATACAACAACCTGATTTGTGTTATTATTGGGCTCGTAAGTTTGCCTTTGACACTGAAAATGGCCAAAGTTTGACTTTTTTTAATCTTCACATGCACTTTTTTTTAATCTTTATCCCCATAGAAGCTATTTTACTTTCAGGAAACGACCCTACAAACATTTATATGACTTGGGTTTAAAGTTAAACTGTGACCTTATTTAGCTGATGAGTAATTCCAGAACGGTCACATGACCGGTCATCTTTACTTTATCTTAGAGACTATTCATGTTTACAAAACTTTGAAATATCAGGACATAAATAGGAACACTTTAGAATACGACATGAATGACCCCAATTATGACCTTGTTAATGACTGGTCGTGGTTTCTTGTCTTTAAGACTCTGCGCAGTATAGTCAATATTTTCGAAAAGAACAATGTTGGTGCTGGACATTTTAGAAGTCAATGTAACAGCTCACACAGAGCAGGGAAAGAGATGATATCCAGTTTTTGAGACCTTAAATTCAAGCATCTAATGGCCATGATCATTGCCCCCTGAAGAATGAACAACTCAATGAACATGAATCATTTCAGAACAAACAATTACTTTCTAAAGATCAAACTGTTTTTGTGAGCTTATGTTTCACAATGTGCTTTCTGCTCAAACAATACGTATTAGTATGTTCAACCCAATGGTGTGCTAGTTCTCAGTGGATTTATTTGTTATGATTGGAGAACTGAGTTTTATTTGGGGAACTGTACGCCCACGGTTCTATGAGTCATTGATGGGTAAAAGTTCACTAACTGCAGAAACATGTTCAAGGACAGCATTACTGGTGACCTGTTTGCTTGTCCGTGTGTTTCATCTTGCATCTTTGTTTGTGTTTGACAGCAAACAAAGAAAATTAGAAAAACAAGGAGACTGGAAGAGTTGTAGTGTAGGCCAACAACTAATATGAGTCATTTCCACATTGCTTCTTTCACACTATAGAAGTTTGTCAAAGTGTCTGTGTTTGCTCTTGTGTAGTCCTGCCATCCATGAAAACTGGACCTGTTGGATTCTGTGGTGCAGAACATTTAAACCGCCTCGCCCAAAACCTCGGAAATGACGAGGTAGGACAGTCCAGACATCACCTCAGTGACTGCAAAGACACAGAAACACACTCACACACACACTTTGATGTACTTTCTGTTTCTTTCCTCACCCTCGAGTTTTCCTCCTCTGCAATATTATTTATAGTAGATTAATGCCAAACCGAGAAAGATTTCTAAGAATATTAGAAGCTGCAAGTCTGTTTCACGTGTTATAACTGACCCAATTTATGAGCTCATTCAGTCAAGCCATGATTTTAATTTAGCCTGTTAAGTCACAGAGAACAAATAACAGGATTCACTTCTGTGTAGGATTAAAAAAAAAAAACGGAATGGAGACCTGAGAGAGCTGAAAGCTGCTTCCTTCCAGGCCAGGCTGAAACTATTTTAAAATTGTCACTGCAGATTCAAAAGCACCAGAAAATCTTGACCGTGTGAAAAAGCAACTATAAAACCAGGTATAGTGGAAAAAACATCTGCCGAATCTATTAAGCTAATACCCCCTCTGGTTCCAGATTTATTGTTAACCTGTGAGGCTGGGTGGTGGTCCCATGTGTTCATTGGCAACAATGGATGCAGGGACATTGGTATGGATCCATTTTTAACAACATTCGTGTAGGTGGAGATAATTTCCACTGTTTGATCACAAAATGGTCTGAACAGATGTTCCTGTGGAGCCATGCTGCTTTCCTGTGACTACAGGTCAGCTCCCCTCTCCTTCTGGGACAAAAGTCATCCCAGTTATACATCAAGTTAAACTGACGTAATGTTTTAATCTGATGCGCTTATCAGTTGGATTCATAATGTAAAATGATTCAGTTACTATAGTGACAGATTCAAGTCATCCTGGTGATTTATCAGTCATGATTCAAATCTTCTTCCAAAACTGTATTCCCTTTACAATCTTTTTAGGTTTAATTCTTCTCTTTTTGTTTCTACAATTTCATCCACAGGAGGCAGCAGTGAGCCGGTCAAGGAGAACAGTGGATCAGGCTAAGACCACTTGCCTTCTCCATTTCCATGCTGACCATCTCTACTACAAGAAGTTCAAGTCTGTTGAAGCTGTGGTGGCTCAGGTAAATGGTGCAAATGTCTCGTCTACATAATTTATCCTACACAGTGCAAAAAATGTTTTATTTTTGTTTTTGTTTACTATGATGGCATTACAAGTTTAGATGTAATGCTCTTGCAAGTAATCAAAGGTTTTGGATCTCCCAAAAAGCCCCATATAGGATATATTTATAACAGCTTTAGCTAAAAAAGCAGTTTTTTATCTTCTGATACTTGCCCCATTTTCTGGACGCAAAGAAAAAAGGCTCAGTTCATGTTTGAGTGCCCTTACGTGCTGCTGATACCTGAGATGCCTGATGTTTGAGGCATCAGAGAACAACATGTACAGTCAGGCGTTTGTAGTGGGATCATGGAACATCCTGCAAGAGCATCAAAACAGAACAAGCGAGTGTCAGCTGTTGGCTGACCTAAGTATGCTGTGTTTACAATCCAGTCCCTGATTCATGCACTGTTCTGGATTCATTTTACTTAATTTTTATTTCATATAAATACATAAATAAGGGGGGTGAGTTGTGCGTGTGCATGTGTCTGTATAGAGGTTTAGTTTAAAAAAGATACTGGTATAATTCAGAATGAGTGAATCACTTCACTGCTTGAGTACGGAGAAGAAAGGGTTCATCTTTTTATAAATGTTTCACTGTCCTGGATTTTGAGGTTAAAGTGTTGCAATTGAAGTCCACCTGTTTGCAACTCTCCTTCCGAAAAAACTCATCTTAGATAAACTGAAAACCCTTAATCTAGAACAGCCCTCCGACTATGTAATGTATGGTATTTTGTTTACAATAATACTTCTAAAAAGAACTAGAATAGATGTGGTGTAACTAGGATATTTAGCTCTCTGATAGTATAGCACTACAGCTAAGGCAAAAGGGCCATTTCTTAAATGAGAGGAGACAGAAGGATATGTGCTTAAGTTGCATGTGTATGCTTAAAGTTTTTGGATTCTGAAGCATTTGGTAACCTACTATTCAGGGAACAATTGAAATGAATAATTTTCAGATGATGTGTGGAGCCAGCCAATTTTCAATCAAAATGTGTGTCAAGCCCACACTGACACATGAGCTAAACACCACTGACATATTTAAAAACAGTGCATTAAGGACAAAGCTGTTGATGCTGTGAAGCTAAATAAAGGGCAACATGACGCACACAGCTGTCATGGCATTGCATTGTGGCATCAGTGAGGAGGATGTTGACAAATGTATTGCTGTATGAGAACATGGTGGCACATGCACCACAAACAATGAGTCAAGTGCGGCTCTATGCCTTTACACCTGACGGGGCACTGTCGGCCCATGTAGTTAAACAAGAAGCCACCTCCTTCTCATCCGCCTGAGCTGCAGTAAGTCAATAACTCTACATGTATTGCCAATGTCAAGCTGTAAGAGCAATATGCTAAAAGTCATTTTCAAGGAATAAAAAAAAAAAAAAATTGCAGTACATATGAAAACTGGATGACGGCCCCACTTACTGAATGCACTGTGTGAACTTTGCAGTGGCTTATTATGTTTTTATGATTAAAATGTCAAACATTTGAACCCCCTGGGCCTATGCGTTCAGTTGTAAAATAAAAAAAATGCATTTAATTTCCTGTTTTAAGATGATCTTGGTTTAAAGGTTGGCTGATCTCATATGATATGTTGGTTAAAGTGACTTGTGTGCTGTTTTTCCTCAGTGAAAAAAGTAAGATATCAGTGATTTGAGTCCCTCTCTGTTTAAGTTTTGTCTTTCTGCACAAAGTGCTGGTCACAGAGGTCATGTGAGATGTTATCCTTATATTGAGTTTAGCTGCATGCTGACTTTGGAATCCAGTGACATAACTTTAACTTCAACTCTTCTGCAAATATGTTCTTAGTTAAACCAATAAACATGATAAATGCTCTTATTGAATGTCTGATTAGAAAGTAGGGCAGCACAGATTTGTCTATAGTTATAGATTTGAGTCTCAGTAGCTGTTTTTTTTTTTTTCCTGCCTGTGTTGCCTTAGTTAACTTAGATTTCCTTCTGGTCAAATGAAGATCGTCTGTCCATTGCTGTTTTTTTGGCCGCTCTGGCCTTCTTCCTGCTGTCCGTCCTCTCATAACCTCAACTGACCTGCCTCAAATTTTTTCCAGCTTCAAGACTCACACTAGTCCCACAAAGTTTATTGTAAGTTAAACCGTGATGTGAGCTTTGAGTGTATATAGGCAGAATGCTGTCATCAATCACTGCTAACCTAGTTTTTACTGTCTCCTCTGTCCAAGGTGTCAACATTTAAACATACGAATATTCCTAGCATGCTACACTGAGTTCGTCTCACGCAGTGTAGACCTTCTCATATGACCACTCAGCACGTGCTCCTCAATGTTTGACTAGCTGTACCACCCACATTCAAAAAAACACATATTCTGATGGATCACAATCCAAACTTGGTCAAGACTGTTTGTGCTTGTATTGTATATTTGTATTCGAGTGTTTGTATCTGCTTCATTTGCAATGAGAGAGTCAAAATGTCCACTCTGCTTTGAAATACTGTTGAGTGTTGTGGAGCTGACCGCTATGGTGGCCCTGGGAGCTCACTGCACAGCGATTTGAATTGTGCTGTTCAGAGTTGCTGTGCGGACACTATTCTTATCATTCTTGTAATTCTTGCTCAAAAGCATTTTTTTAACCCCTCTGGAGGCAATTCACGGCACATAAATGTGTGTGACAAATAAATGCTATAACTTTTTTTTTATTTTTGTGCATTTTGTGCTTTTAATGGAGAGATAGGACAGTGGATAGAGTCGGAAATCAGGGATAGAGAGAGGGGAATGACATATGGGAAAGGAGCCACAGGCTGGACTCGAACCTGGGCCGCCCCCTTGGAAGACCATAGCCTCGACACATGGGGCCCGCGCGTTAACCACTGTGCCACCAGCGCCCCAAAGCTATGATTTTTAATCTTGAAAATAAAGAAAAAAGTTACAAACACAGACAACACAACCAAATACAGAAATAACTCAGCTCACTTGAACTTATTATCAGGGTTTCACAATTAATCTTACTTACACATCACATATGCGTGACTTGATAAGAGGAAATACGAAAAAAACATTTAATGTGAACAAGCAGTGCTTCTCAGCAGCATGTTTACATTTTGGATAGAGGCCTGAGTGTTGAGGTCTGGGTATTTAGGAAATGCATCTTTTCAACATGTAACCCTAAGCTAAAGCTAGCTATCTGCTACCCTTAGATTAATTGGTGCTTGTGTATTGGTGAAGTTTAAAATGTATTCTGTATTTAGTAGAAACATGTTTCAAACACGTGTATTGTTAAAACATGACGGACAGCAAACTGGAAGTTAACATGCACTCTTAATTGTATGTTTATTTTGCACTTCATATTGTATCGCAATATCAAACAGTTGAATACATGTTCTTTTGTCAGGTTGCCTCCTACATGCGAGCTATAAACGACATCTACGACAAGGTGGACTTTGATGGCATCAAGCTAATCAACTTCCAAGTGAAATCCCTCAAAGTAAGATCCTCTAAAGCTCCAACAATGACACGATTGTCCCAAATCTTAGAGTGACGCTGCACTGCATGTCTGTGATAAGTCCATGCAACCCATAATCCAGGCTTACTCACATTTAATTCTATTTAGAGAAACATGTCATGACCTCCTTTTTGTAAGAATGGAAGGAAGGTCTAAGAAAGTCTTTGATTGGGGATTTGGGATTATTGGGTTAAATTGTCAGCCTCAAATGGTGCCTATGTCTATGTATTCCCTCATAATGAATGAATCACAATATTAACTTTGAAGTGTGGGTTGCAGCTTGTATCCTTGTGTTCAGGGACCTGCTTCACAGATGTTTGATTAACCTGTGTGTGTGCTGGTCTCTTTCCAGGTGATGACGGAGGAGGATAAAAAGAATCCTCTATATCCTCTGTATATCGGGCCTGAGAAACTGTTGAGTCTGTACTCGGAGAACGACTGGGGAAACTTATGTCTGTCCTACCTGCTCACTAACAGAGACTACAGCGGAGTGCTCGGACTTGCCTGGGAGGGAAAGACCGGTGAGTTTGACTCGCTCTGACATGTAGACAGACGTCACACACACATGCACTCACGAAAAGATCCCAAGGCGAGCATTTAGTGAAGCAAAGACTTACAAAATAATGAGTGATGACAAAAAATTGTTTCCAAAAGTGTATTCAATTTCCAGATGTTAAATACAGTTTCAAGTTTATCGGAATTCAGTTTCAAACTAAAACAGTAAGTTAGATTTAAAATAATCAGTCAATTAATCAATCAATCTTTATTTGTATCACGCCAATTCCTAACAACTGTTATCTCAAGACATCTTACAAAAGAGCAGGTGAAATAATTTACTCTTTGTTAGACTATTAGATACTGTGCCAGTCAGTGTAAATCTTTTGTTGATCTATCAAATCACAGTACCCGCTCCGGCTTGCAGGACTCTTTGGCTCTCTCTATTTCTCTGGAATAATTAGATCGATGAAGTAGTTGAACCTTTACAGAATAGGCTTGAATCCAGGGCTAACTCATGTTGAAGAGAAGGCTTTGAAAAAAGGCAACAACTACCCATGAGCCAAAGTGTCGCTGGAACACATAAGATAAGATAAGATAATCCTTTATTTATCCCACAACGGGGAAATTTACAACTAAATTTACTACATTCATAGTAGATTGAGTTAATTAGGACAAGGAATCGCAGTGATAATGGCATGTAAGCCTTCTTGTTTTTCATGGATCAAACAGTGTTGTGGAACACAGAGTTGAAGGATTTACGCAGCTCGTATTTCTGGTCTGTTATTATGGCCCTTGATTTGGTTAAAGAGACCAAAAGCAAGACATGAGCAGACACCAAAAAACAATCTCTGTTTTTTTTCGCATAAATACTTGCTAGGATAAAATAATTTGGCAATGCTATCACAATATCATAGACTTATTTGATTACTCTTTTCCCCCTAAAACTTTATTTCTTTTCCAAAGTGACATGCATTATTTCAGTGTCAATTAAAACCCACAACCTAGTGATATTGGTCTTATATTTACTTTTTATTTTATTTCTGTCATGTTAAGAATCTTCTCTTTTTTTTTTGTTGATATTTTTTGGGCCATTTTTGCCTTAATCGATAGGACAACTGTGGAGCGACATGACATGTTGGGAGGAGAGAGGCGGTATGACATGCAGCAAAGTGCGTAGGCCAGATTCAAACCCACGGTTGCTGCAGTTATCATAAAGCCAGACGTGTCTCTCAGCTTCTGTGCAATCTGGAGGTTGGGATTGTTTCAGTAGGAGTGTCCTCCTTCTGCTCATTTCCATGACATTGTTTCTTACTCAGTGTTTGATTGGCTAAACTGAGGGGCGTGAGGGCAGACCACCACAGTGACATGTGATTATGGAACCTTTGATACTCACACTAACTCACTCACACACACACACACACACACACACACACACACACACACACACACACACACACACACAACTCCCACACATTTTAGTGGGGATAGGTGGCTGCATTCCACAGCTTGATTGCCATGGTGACACCTCACGTGAGGAACACACACACACACACACACACACACACACACACACACACACACACACACACTCACACACACACTCACACACACACACATACTCTCACATGTTGTGAATTCATAGTGGCAGTGACATTGTTGTGACCTTTCAGGATGGCTAATGTTTGATCCCAAAGAATCAGATCACTCGGGTCACTGTAACCCACTTCCACTAGTTTATTACTGGTTTTGGGTAATGGGAGGCTTTTAACTATGGGACCAAGCTATACATGTAGGACACACATGTAAGCTCATGCACAGCCCCCGTTAGTCACAAGGATTTCGACCTCTAACCTCACATAGTTGTGTGTTTGTATGTGAGTAGTGAGTAGTGTGTGTGTGTGTGTGTGTGTGTGTGTGTGTTTGGGTGGGGGCACATGAGTTTTCTCACCAGCAAATTTCCATCTTCTATTGAAACTAACGTACAGTATAGGAAACTTAAAACATGTTTGGTGTCATTGATTGTTTAATTGTGTTTTGTTTTTCTTGCTGCACACAGTGGTAGTGTCATTGTTCTTCTTCAGGAGAGCAAATAGAATAAAGGATCATCGTTATCATATATACTTATATGAAGTAGACATTTTGGCCTTAATGAACCTTTGACATGGTTCATTTACCACTGATCCCTGGACTTTACTGCCATGAATTTCACGGAGTAAAAGCTAATTGAGTTGAAAGAATATACTGCATTAAATAATCGAGCTTGTATCGAATGCATCTTTTTTTATGATGATTGTATAGGGCTCCCTGTCACACAAATGGAAATACAGAGTACACAAATGAAAACCTTTGAAATAGGAAAATAACCATACAACAGGCTGGAAAGAGTTTAGTAAATCATATATTCTAAATCCACTCAAGGGTCTTACAAGCCAAGTACCTTCTTTTTATTAAGGTCAATTAAAACAAACTGGGGCCTTAACTTACCCTCAATGCACATCAACCACTGACGGTTTGTGTTTTGCCAGTAATAGTAGTCTAGCTGATAGACACAAGCAGAGGGACATGCTTCATATTTCTGATTAGATAGCTTCTCTACAGCATCAATTAAGAAATGCAGTCTTCAGCCCCAGCTCATGCTGACTCCAGTGGCATCACCTGGGGCAATCTTTCTGGCTTTGTGCACGACCTCAAAAGCCACAAAGTACTCAGGCAAATCGTCAGCAACCTAAATGCACACTGTACCTGTAAAAAAAAGAAAAGAAAAGGCTGTTGTAGCTCTTGACAATTGTCCATTAAAAAATATTTGAAAGTTCAGATCTGTAACAAAACGCACCATAAGGTTCAAAATTATGCTAAAAAAAGGAAACATTCTTCCTGTGACATAGCTACCACCTTGTTCATCTTTGAATTGACATTATACAATTAAAGATTGGTTGATTGACTGATTAAAATGTCTAATGAAAGGAGTTAATCCAGCCAAACCAAGCACTTCTACTGTTCTGGCTAGTAATTTTATGCTATGAGATAGATAGATAGATAGATAGATAGATATATATATATATATATATGTGCGCGCTATGGTAGTTCTCTTTAGCTCAAAGTTTTCCCTTAGGACTTACTGCTAACCCTCTTACCCCGAGACATGTTCTTGTATTGAGAAAACAGTAGCCCATTGTTCCCATCACGTGTAGAAGTCTAGGTTCACTTTCTGTTATAACCCAAACCATGATCTATAACTTATCATAACCAAGTTGTCTGCAATTTCCGACATCCACTTACTTGGTTACAAAACTACTTCATAATGTTGGTGTAAGATCATTATTTGGGTGAAAATAGTAAGGAAATGTTAGCCTTTGGGTTTTAAAGTGGTTACAAACAGATGCACCTCAAACCAGCCCTCTCCTCACCACATTTTCTGTCTCTGTAAACACAGACCAGATCATCAGAACATGGAAGCTCAGCATCCCACTGACATTCATATTTGTTTGTTTTCATCATTTTAACCATCAACTAACTTAAAAATTAAAAACATACTTAAAATGTATAACTCTCCATGTTACAGTTTGGACAGTTTAAGCTAGAGTAAGTGGAAGCAAAGGTGAACTATAAAGTTAAATTCAAGAGGAGCTGATATTGATTCACTTTTTGCAGTTATTTTGTTTCACCTCTAAAATAGTGCTTTACATTTTACCAACATGTGAAGAATTCATCGACATCTGTCTCGTCTACTTAGCATTATTGCTGCTAATACTTATCACTGCTTCCACGGGGGTGAAATGACCTGTTGTGCATTCCAAACAATCTTTTAGTTTTACAGCAGTGAAAAGGTCAAACTGGTCTCAGAATATAGTGAATAAGCTTTTACAAATATGCTGTGCTGAGGTCATTGAACTCTGGAGACAAAGGGCACAGTGATCGAAAGTCTGCGGATACAGTTAGATTACTTACATTACCTTTGGCTGTTGTCCGGAGTAGAGCTAATTTAGTCTTCTGGGAACTTTGGGCAGTGTTTTAAGAACCACTTGCTGTTTATATTTGTTGATGATTGTGTTATGAGGACACTCTGCCTCCCCCTGGATGTTTGTCCAAGGACAGAACGCCTTTTTACTCACCTATTGTGTGTGTGTGTGTGTGTGTGTGTGTGTGTGTGTGTGTGTGTGTGTGCGTGCGTGCGTGCGTGCGTGTGTGTGCTTTTTGTGTGTGTGTGTGTGTGTGTGTGTGTGTGCATGGGAAACAGAGGTCCTCTTTGTGTCTCTATATGTTTGGAGAACTTGCTTGATATTGTTTCCAGTGGTTGCTGCTACTGCATGTTTTTTTGTTGGTTCAGGTTATGTGTGTTTTAGCATGTGTGCTTGTTTCCTTTATGCATGCATTGTGTGGTGCAAGGGATCCAGAGGACTGTTGCAGGATGTGTTTGTCCAGCGCGCTAATAATAGGACTCTTTCACTATGGCTCCGTTCTGTGGTGAAGGAGGAGGGGCCGAAAATCGGAGCCCCTCTCTGCTCAGGCTGCCAAAAATCACAGTGGAGACCTCCAAAGTAAGCTCTTTCTAGGAAACCCAGCTCCTTGAATAATCCATCAGGGGGGCCATTTTAGGTCAAAAGCTGGGAGTGCTGCATAAATGCATCCAGAATTCATGATTAACACTCTGAGGGAGTCTTGCTGGGTTGCATGTTGTTATGAAGGAAACTGCTTGTGTTTATACTTTGGCTGTGATGAGTAAAATGATAAATGACAGTTTCTGTAAAATTAAAAAATCCCAGTGGGTTTTCTCATTTTTTGCAAGGACATGATGTGACTTTAAATTCCAGGCAATACCAGGCAATCTCAGCCTACAGTACTTCACCCAACATATGATGGTAGACTAACATCTCGCTTAGCTCTCTACCCTTACAGAACCCTTCTTGTTTCTACAACAGAGGAGATAGGGGGAACCTTTGTTTTTGTTTTTTCACCTCTAACTGTCCCTCACCGTTCCCGGATGTCACCCTCTCACCCACTGTGTAACAAAAACATGCTGGTGTGAGATCCAGATGCCAGTGGCTGGTTCCCACACTCCTCACTGACACAGAGTGAACTCAGATTTCTGTGAAACAGTCAATATCTATACCAGACGTGCGCCTCACAAGCCTCCTAAAAATGGCTCTGCTGACCATATTGCGTAAGAGATGTTACATAAATTCACGTGACTAAATGCAAGTGCTGAGACCTCCAACCTGAACCCGCCACACGGGCACAAATGGAGTGAGCCAATGAAAAGAGGGGACGGACGACGACACATTGAAATGACTCCCAAAGCAGGTGATTGTAAGACTGGGTGTAGGCAATAAGAGCACAGAAATCATGATGGGAAAGGAAGAGCAAAAATAGAGTGGCCTGCGAATACTTTTAGCTGGTAAATCAGTTCTTTATTGGGCTTAGATTGGAGATTAACTAACCAAAGATGTATTAACAGGAGATTCATCTTGGTTAGGGGTGGTTACGTTGAAGTCTTGAGACAAAGACACACACCATTGAGGGCCAAACACAGGCTCTGATATGAAACTAGAGGAGTTCAGCAGGTCTGTCTGTCTGCACACCTCTGACCCTGGGGCCTCTGAGGCTGTTGATAAGGCTTTAGTAGCAAAGCTTCGTTGGTTTCAGGTATTTCCATTAGCTCAAGGCCAGTTATTCAACCATACAGTACATAAAAGTGACACATGCTATGTTTTCATGTGGGTAGTATCTGTTATTTGTTTTGCCTGTTGTGTCCGCTGAACGATGAGCAGTCTGATATATTAATGAATCGTCAACTATACAAAAACCTTTATTTCAACCTCCTTCTAGTATTGTGCGACCTTTGGTAAATAAAATACAATATTAGATCTTTATTGAGTTTGCTCTAACTCTAATTTAAACCACTAAACTGTTTATCATCCTGTCCGTCTGTGCCTTAGGTAACTGGGGAGGAATATGTTCAAAGCAGACCACCCTGCGTAATGGCCGGACCTCCACACTGAACACAGGCCTGGTCACTATTCAGAACTATGGACAGTTCCTGCCCCCTCGACAAGTCCAGCTAACACTCGCTCATGAGCTCGGCCACAGCCTCGGATCCCCGGTCAGTTCTAATCAAGTTACTTTCAAGATACTTAAATCATCTGTCTAATCTTAGATGAAAACCAAGCTCCCTTAATCAAAAGAGTCATGGACGGAATTTACATTTAATAATACACACTACTTCACCCACAAAGTTCCCCAATGCATGTCAATGTAATGAATTGTTGCCATGGTACTACACCTTGAACTGTAGGGATATACAGTACATCAGTGGGTATGAACTCAATGTGAGTGAACTTGATGTTAATCCAACATGAGGAATCTCAAACAAATTGCAGACTTGCTTCACATATTCTCACATAGCATGCCGAATGTTTGCAGTGCACCAGAACAAATGTCCTGTGAATGATTCACTTATGTGGGCATCACAGACCTTGGCCATTATTGACTTACTTTTTTCGTAGAGACCCTTGGCTCAGCCTCAGTGGATGATCTGAAAGATAATCTGAAGAGAACAGACAGAAATTTTTACATTCGTTAAGACAGGTCTTCTTTTCCATTATGCAAACCATTAAAACCGTATTTTCTCGCAGTCAGAAGTAAATAACTGGACACCAAACATCATTTTAACCTTACATTACATTAAACATATAAGAAGTAAAAAAAAAAAAATTAAAGTGGGTACAAAAAGGTGCCTTGTGACAAGACCTTGAAAAATAAGTAGAGGCTTGTTTGGGGTCTTTAGTAACATTTTAAAAGTTCATGCATTGCTAAGAGTTCCACCACAGCGATCTAAAAAACATAATATTGAATCAGAATTCTTTTCTGTTTCCTTCCTCTTGTGGAGTTTTCTTCAACCTTCATGTCATTGAACTTGGCTGAGACGCCTCCTTTGTTACTAAAGAGATTCAATGATTCCCTCTTTAAACTTCTGTAAATGCTGCTTCACCGTAAACACTTTTATAAACAATCCCAAAATTAAAATACATAACTTGGCTCAGGGGACATTAAACTACCTTTACTTCGGCTGATGTATTTAATTTAATTTTGTTAATTTTGTTTTTCCCAAGCATGATTTGAGTTGTGTTTACTTTTACTTTAAAACAAATCTTCCATTGACGTGCTTGTCCTTTTACCAAAGTCTTTTTTTTTTTTTTTTTTACCAACACACTCTGTTTATACCAACAACAAACAAAGCATGCTCCTCTCTCCATGTGTGGTTGCTGCAACCTGCAAGTGCCTGTGACCTTTCTCCCACTTGCCAAAATGCCAGTGGCCTCTTTTCAGCCTGCCTGCTGTTATTCACACTTTCACAGACCAGAGCGTCCTTGGAGGCTATCCTGGGCAGATTAGTTCTGCTATGTCAGAACCTGCTGGCTCTCTCTAATTTAAAATAGTGTAAATTCTGCTGCTGCTGCCTGGATTCTTAGCTTCTGTGACAGGCCTTGATTATTTTTTTCAGGCATCACACTGCATCTTTTCAGGAAGACGCACATGAAGAGATCTAAGCACTGGCTTCACCTGAGAGAGAAGGAGAGAGAGAGGCATGGTGGATAGAATAGAGGGCTATCCATTGATGCAGAGGGAGATCTGGGTAAAGAGCTGCTTCGGCCTTTGTCCTCCTCTTAACAATGACATAAAGCAGGACATTTTCACATAGAGCTTTTTTTCCCCCTTTTTTCTGTTCAAATCCCTGAAACTTTTTAGCTTTAAAAAAAAAGTGCTTATTACATTTTTGTCAATGAGCTAAACAATTGGCTTTTTTTACTTTTTCCCATTAATATATAAATTATTCAAACTATTCAAAAAATTAAATCAGTACAGAATCAATAACATAAATAAGTATTAACAAACTATCAACTTAAGACTTAGAGACGACTAGACTGAACTCCCTTTCACAAAAAAAGTTACGAATATTCCCAACATTAGTTGTTTGATTGTTTATCTTGAATCTTCACAACTGCCATAACAGCATCTGTAAAACCACTACAGGTGTTCGAGAAGTAAACAGGAAGGGCAGGAAATCTGCAAACTGACATCAAGGACAGATGTTTATCCATGCTTTGCTGTTCTTCCTTTTGTTACCACTTGGTTTTGTTCTGTTGTTTTTTATTATCAACAGCAGTGTATTGTGTGACAAGGCGGAGCATGTTACAAGCTTTAACCTTTAGTCTTCAGACTTTTAATCTGAGGGGCAACAAAAAGCAGAGGCAAGAGAACAGGAAGTTACAGTTGAAACATAAGGCTAATAGCAACAGCTACCTTGAGCTACAAATGCTGAAAAAAAAAACGTGACATACAACAATTGTGAAAAAATAAAAAGTAATAAGCCTATATCCATCTCAAGACACAATGAAAACATTTGCTGTGGCTTGCTGTGTTAAAGAACCCTTAGAGCCGCAAATGTTGACAGATTTAGTGCAGACGATACATTTGCACTCATTATATCCGTCAAATTAATGACAAACAGATTCAGAAAGCCCACACAAAGTATTTTCTCTCCACATGAGTCTATGTTTTGTTTTTTTAAGATGTATTTTTGTATTTCATAGGACAGTGGATAGAGTAGAAAACCAAGAAAGGCCAGTGGGGAATATCATGCGACTTGAACGTCATTGACGTCATGGGACGTCATTTAAAGTCTAAACATGTGTTTCTTATTTTACCAGTGAGTTTGACATCAATGAGACATGTAGAAAAAGTTACACGAATACATTCCAGTCCAAAGCAAGAGAAGCTCTCTGTAGGGGACATCAGATTCCAGAGAAATCTTATTATTTTGTTCTTCTGGAAAAACAAAGATAGCTTGAAGAAACACTGGCTTTGGTCTGTGCAGAAGGACTTCTTTTTTTTAAATGGCAAATGTTACAAGCTTTATCTTCCACTGTCCATGGACGTTACTGAAAACATTTCTACTGTCTAATAAATTGATTTAATCCCCACATCTGTGATAAGTAAGGAAACAAACTGTTAAAGCTCGGTTGAATTACATGGTCCTCCCTGTAGTTTTTGTCTGCAGCTGGGTATTTTGGGTGCCTATTCTAAATTGCATGGTTACAAGAATAATAAAGAATACAAATTGATCCATATACATACCTATATAGTACAGGTACACATTTGCATGTAAAGTCATAAATGAAAAAAAAAACATTTCAAATCAACTTAAGAATTTACATTTACATTTTTCCAGCACGATGAGGGCCAAAATTGCGGAAACCTGGGCTCCAGTGGTGGTAAAGGCAGTTACCTGATGTTCCCTTACGCCTCAGACGGGGTGCATGAAAACAACGACAAATTCTCCCCCTGCAGCCTCAAACACATCAGCAAGATCCTGAAGCTAAAGAAGGACGACTGCTTTGTGGGTGAGAAGAAAAAAGATCAGATGATGTCTGCACGTGTCCTGCTTAATCTTGCAGAGTCAGAGTGAAATGTTTACAATACGAACTATGTATATTTACAAGTTTTCTTAAGTTTTTTGGTACATTGGTTTATTTTCTTGTGTTCATATATTTACATGCATGATACTTTTGGTCAGTCAGTGATCAACCCATCTGTGGAAACAAGATTGTAGAGAAAGATGAGGAGTGTGATGTCGGCGACAACGACAAAGATCTCTGCTGCTTCAGTTCCAAACAGACTATAGGAGTCCAGTGTCGACTCAGGCCTGGTAAAGCCTGCAGGTATGATAACATTAGAATTAGTGTTTCACAAAAAAATCAAAACAATATTCGGGCGCCGGTAGCATAGTTAGTGCACTCGCCCCATGTATGGAGGCTGTAGTTCTTCAAGCGGGCGGCCCAGGTTGGAATCTGGCCTGTGGCTCTTCCCTCTCTCTCTCCCTGTTTTCTGACTCTATCCACTGTCCTCTCAAATAAAGGAATAAAAAGCCCAAAACCAAACCTTTATTTGTTAAATATGTACCAAGGTAGATTTTTTCAAGAGAATTTCAGATAAGGTGATTTATTCAGACTTATTTAAAATATATTGGAATTGTTCTTAGTTTGAAGTTAATTGTATTTTCTAGGTGTTTCATTGTCATGTTATGAGCGTCACTGATTTGTAAGTGCATGATGGTGTCTTTCTTTTCTTTTTTGGGGCTTTTTGTGCCTTTAATGGAGAGATAGGACAGTGGATAGAGTCAGAAATCAGGGAGAGAGAGTGGGGAATGACATGCGGGAAAGAGGCCACAGGTGGGATGTGAACCTGGGCCGCCCGTTTGAGACTACAGCCTCCATACATGGGGCGCGCGCACCAATCACTGCGTCACCAGCGCCCCAACGATGGTGTCTTTCTTTTGTCCATCAGTCCCAGTCAGGGCCTGTGCTGCGGTCAGAACTGTGAATTCAAGCAGTCGGGTCAGACCTGTGATGAGGAGACAGACTGTCAGAGAGAGAGTGTTTGTTCAGGCTTCTCCTCGTTCTGCCCCGAGCCAGGCAACAAGGAAAACATGACAGTCTGCAGTCAGGGCACACGTGTCTGCCTAAACGGGGTGAGGAAGCCAGATCTACTACAGTTCAAAAAAGTCTACAATATTTGTGCACCTGTGACATTTCGCCTTCAATCTGAATTTTGCAGAGGCGTAATTGGGGGAAAATATGAGCCCCCTTTGTACCCTCTTCAGAGGTAGTACCAGAGGTGTTACAGAGGCAAGACAGTATCAGCGTAGCCAGCGGGGGAGCGCAGCACTGTGTGCGCATGCATGTCTAACTATCTGTTTATGTGGAGCTCCCGCTGTGCCGTGTGATGGGGACACCAATATTATGCCGTCACAGAATCAATATGAATGTACAAAGCCGTGATGATGGCTGAGCTTAGTTACAGCACTTTTGTGAAAAAAGCAGTCTGAAAAGGGCTACTGAGAAAGTAGTTCTACTTCACACAAAACTTTTACCTCACTTGTTTCAAGTCTCCCTTAACACGGCACAATGTACGTTGTGTAATTCATGGTTTCATTAACATTTGAAGACTTGTTAAACAACATAAGCTTTAGGGCCTGACTACCTTTTACCCATAGCTATCACAGCTACCTGAAAGTGTCTTGAAAAAAGACAGTTTTTAAGGATCCATCTGTTAGATGGCTATATTTTTGCAGATACTGTATCTTAATGTTTGCTAACCCTTTGCTTCTCTCCAGCTCCACCATCTTGTCCATATTGGTTCCTTTTAGTTCAAAAAACAAATAAACAAAAAACAAGATGCCTTTGGCCAAAATGTTAACTTGTTGCTATTGAACTTGTCTCCCAACCCATTCATGACATCACATTCACTATACAGGGCACTTCAGAAACAAACTCATCATTAGTGACTGTTCTGGATTCAGATTCAGATTCCTTTTTGCTCAAGAGGGAATTATTTGTAAACAAAGGCACCATTACAACACAGCTCATTTAAAAAAAAAGGTTGGCTCTAATCCATGTTACTTCGAGACATGCGTGACTCTACAAAAGTTTTATTTTGGCCAAATTTCCCCCCATCAATAAATGTCTCCTGATGATACTGTTGTCTGAGCAAAAGAGGCAAAGAATGTATTCCAGCTGTGAGTGTTGCTTCATCTTATTTCTAAAATGTATTTCTCCCTTGGTATTAAGTGAACAAACCTCTGACAGCTTATCCAAGAACATAGAACATAACAACTGGAAAGGACTTGGGGGGGGGACATGGGAATGTGATAACCAAGGAACATTGGTCCAAATACTGAAGGGGAGTTTTAGTTTCATAGATTATAAAAATCTCAACCAACTGTTAACCCACATTGTCTCTTTCGAGGAATTCTCAAATACTTCTCAGGAAAGGGGGAACAGACTCCTTGTTTGGCATAAATAAAGTAAAAATCAAACGTTGATTCAGAGTTAGTTCTTTAAGAGACTCATTTACTTGTATTCATCCTTTTCATAGTGACACATATTACTCACGGTGTTCAAAGCATTGGCTTTAGATTAAAACTTAAACTTTCTAATAAGTGCTTAAAGAATCTGAATGAATAATAAGGTAATCATACAATTTGTTTAACTCTAGCACCACAAAAGCAGAGATCTCTTTAAAGTTTGCAGAATTTATTTTAAGTCAGTGAAATATAAAACAAGTACTTATGTTAGTAGGGATAAGGAAGCACCATTTTTTTTTTTTGTGTACTTATTATTACTCATTAGTAATAGCTTAACACTTGACTTAACCTGTTGTTGGTGTGCCCTTTTGTTTTTGTATCCCTTTACTTTCCATGTTTTTTATTTCCCGATTTCTTTTTTTCTTCATGCGTCTTCTCTAAATTGTCTTCTGTGCTTTTCGGTGCAGGTCTGTGCTGAGTCCCTGTGTGTGAAGCACAACCTACAGCAGTGTGACTGTCCGGGTGACTCCGTGAAGGACAAATGCCACCTGTGCTGCCAGCGGCCTGGTAACCACTGTTCATGGGTCCTACACAGGAGAGGAATGTGTTTACACTTTGTGTCCCATCATGTCAGCCTGTGTCAATTTGTACAGGGGTCACCTTCGTACAATGATGTTTTCCATTAGACATCCTAGAAACTTTCACAACATCTGACATAATGGCATAACAGAGCATAGCATAAGGTCCTGAGGGGACACACAGTCATACAATTAAAAAAAACTATAACAGAGCAGGTTTTAGTAGCCATATAATATGTTCTCTGGTCATTTTAATGTGATTTTCTCTGAATCAATGGCAGATAAGCCTGAGACCTGTGCCAGCACTATCTCCTCTGTGCTGCGCAATCACTTCCAGGAAAAGTTGTTGCCCTTGGTTGGCGGGACTCCGTGCTCAGGGAACCAGGGATACTGTGACAAATTCCAAGTTTGTCGTTTGCTGGATGCAGATGGTCCCATAGCAAGACTGAAAAACTCCTTTCTGAATTTGGATGACTTTGATGACTTAGCAGAGTGGATGAAGGTGATTTTTTTTAAAATATATAATTGTAGATAAAAACGAACAAAGTGGGGATCAGATCACTTTTCAAAAAAATTAGATTATTTGTTTTCCTCTCTTTAACTACTTGACTGTCATACAGTAATTTATGGTTTTATTGAACACAGCACAGTGTATTTGTTTTGTGAGGTCATATAAGTAAACACATACATCTTAGTAAAGTTATCAAGTATTTACTTTAAAAAAAAAGCAATTTAGTTATTTTTACATTATTAACCTGTAAGTATGGACGTGGTCTTTGTAACTATGCAATGAGGTCACATCCTCAGCTCAGTGTGACATTCAGCTGTCTTCAATGTTCCAGCTCTTAGCTTCCTTTGAGATTTAGATCTTCCTGACAGCATGGAGAATCAGGAATGGGCTGAAGAGCACCTCACTGATTTTCCATTCGTTTCACAAGACAGAAATGATCCCCAAATTCAGGAACCATTCTGTTATTTCATCGTAGACCTACATTTGTTGCCGACTCATTTTCACATGTCCACAGTTTCAAAGTTATAACCTGTTCTGGATCGGGTCATGGGTTGGCTTATATGATATTTTCACTGCTATAACCTTATTCCAGTCACCACAAAAATAAAGATAAAGAAAGAAGAGCTATATTTAAAAAATAAAAATAAAAAAAGATTTCCTGGTTCACTATAACGGGTTGGCCACTAAAAATGATTTTAATTAACAACAACCAGGCACGAAATGAAGTCAACAGTGCTTTAAAACGAATAACTGTGTCTTTGTCAGTACTGATTATAGTTGCTTACTAGCTGTATCTCTCCTCTGCAGGCTCATTGGTGGGCCATCCTGCTGGCCATCCTGACTGTGTCCGGAGTCATGGGCTGCACAGTCTGCCTCTGCGGCCGCACTCTGGACTCTGAACTTTGACTGACCTCTGGCTTTTGATCCCTGTCACCTCTTGGAATATGAATATCATCCTGTTGGTGAATATTTTTTTGTAAGGAATCATTAATCTATAATTCAATCATATTGAAGAGTCAAGGAAACATCAAAGAGCTCAGTGAACTTTGCTCCACATGTAAACCAGCGTGTCATCTGTATATGACTTTTTTAAGACACTCACACCTGCTCATTGCCTCTCACTCTGCTTGTTAGCTGATATCTTTGCACGTCATTATGCATCTGTCATCTCATTTCTTGGTGTGACTTGTCTGTGCCCATTTCATCAACCAGTCAGGGTTAACTGTGACGCATCTATTGTGGTAAACGTTGCTGTTGCTACGAGTTGTGGGTCAGTTGACACCCTTTAGAGGCCACATCGCAACATGCACCTACAGAGATTTATAGCGCCCTGTCTGGAACAGATTCATCTCCCTTGTTTTACCCTTTAGTGTCCTTGCTGATATATCTGAAGTGAAGTGTTAATTTCAGCCTTCATGCCCATCCAGTTTTCCATCCTCGAGATACTTGATCAACAATAACGTCACAGGAGAGTGAGATGACAAGTAGAAATTGGGCATTCTCTTGAAATGACATTTGGCCTCAACTTCTTTGTTGTTATTTATATTGTTAACAAAGTACAAAGATGCTGACTTTAAAAAAATAAATAAAGGGACAGTTAACATGTTTGTCATCTTTTTTAAATGTTTGAAATAAAAAACTTAAATTAAATTAAATGTTAAAAGATTCTATATTTCATAAGAGAATTAAATTTAAAAGGTTAATTAAAAAGAATACAAATGTACTCCAAATGACAGATACAGTAGGTGCATCAGCTATGAATTAAAAAAAAACCTTGAGCTAATTAATGATAATGACGGCACATTTTTAGGATTGAGGATAAAAAACAGTTTGTAATCAGATTTCATGGTCAGGAAAAATAAAGTAAAAGTTACACTCAGGATGTTCTCTCATTTTGGTTTAATAGAGAAATGTATACAGTACAGTGAATATTCACAAATATGTACAAAGGTTACAGACTAACAGTGTTCCATAGTACTACATCAGTCATCTGTATTTAGTATTTACATTACTGTACAGGTAACACTGTTAAGCATTCTCTTCGCCTGTTTTCAGTGCAAAAATAAAAAAAACAAGTCCACACCTTTTTAAATAGGTGAAAATGAAGTCACAATGATTACAGTACCGATCTCTCAAGAGCCAAGGTTGAAACACTGCTAACAAAACTGGAAATGTAATTATGGATTAATGAGCGTTCGTCGAGACTCAAAAAGCCACATGCACAGAAAACTGCAGCTAAGAAGGACTTGAGATAGACAGTGCAACAAAATGCTAACATTGACATAAACTGTACCATTCTCCTCACACATGTACCCCGTTTATTTCAGCCATTTTAATAGAGCCATGGTCGACAAAATGTTGGACAATTCTTTGAGGTAGCAGCCTCCAAGTAACATGTCGTGTTGCAGTGGTGTAGCCGTAAAAAGAATAAAAAGATGCAAAAGTGTTTCAAACAACATTTACAAGTTGAGATGTTTCAGTAAAAGTTACAAAGAAAGACGACAACACTAAAAATACAAAAATGTGCACAACAGCAGCAAGGCACATGGAGTTAAGTTCTGACTGCAGCAGCTTACTTCAGACTAAGCTAAGGCACAGTGGTACAGATCCCACAGTCACATACAGTGCTGAGGGCCACAGCGGTGAATGCTCTGTTAAAAATGACACAGGGAAATAAACGGAACCCCAATGCATATAGCAATTAAGGAAATTCATATTTACCACCATGTCTAACTCTTTTTTTGACCTCCAGGAGAATGTTTACCTTCACAGTAATTGCTCTAACTATGAAGTGTGACACAAGGTATTTTACACGATGGGACTTCAATACCTGTAAAACCATTCAGGTAAACGTTACTCATTCCTCTTAGTATGTGAGGCTCTGAATGGAGCAAAAAACAGTATTCCTTTCTTTGGACACAATATATGAACAAAAGAAGATAACATTCACTTTTGTTGTACAACTAGGAAGTAAAAAAACAACAGCTCTTTAAAAAATATTTTTACAGTATTCACCTAGACATTGTTTTAAATAATGAACATTCTTTCATGACTTTTGTGTTATTGTGAGATAAAATAAGTTACAAGTGTATAAGTTATTTTTAAGTGCTCAAATGGATCGAAGGACATTCGTCTTGAAGGTCAGTGGTTCTCCAGAGTGATTCTACAGACAAAGAAGCGTTTATCTTATTTATAAGCACTAACAGAAAAGTAAAAAGTCATTGGGGAAATTACGGAGGGTATCTTACCTTTTTGTAGATCTTTTTGAGTTTGACCTCCATGAATCCTTACATTTTACAAATGTGACCTCTTGTGACCTCAAGTCCTGAGCTTTAGTGTCTTTTACACAGAACACCATCCTGAAAAAAAAGTCAACACATTGATAAGCATGAGAACTTAATCTACCAAAGTAGCTTTGTCTATGGCAAAGTTATACTGACAGGACATTTTATTCTATTAGTACTGCTCCTATTCCTGAAAAATAGATCCTTCTAAAATAGTGTGCAATCATTTCTGTGTCTCTCTTCTCGTATTCTTTTGGCTCTGTGAGTTTTTACAAGTCCTATTATACTGCAACTTACTTCTTTTGAGTCTCTCCAGCTCTGATGCGGATTTTGTGAACCTTTACGTCAGTGTTTTCTGAGTCACCCGACCACAAAGAAGAAACCATCTTCAACATGTTGGAGGCTGACCACCCGTTTGTCTGCTCCCATTTAAACTTCAGCATCAAGAGATCTCCAATATCTTTCTCCGTTGCCAGGAGGAAGGACTGTGTCTTATTTGTTGCGATTTTCTCCTTTCTGCCAGACACAAATAGAAGTGTAAGTGTTCGACTTGTACACACAGAGAAACTTAACATAGCCTCATAAACGCTGCACTACAAACCACAAAATAACCACAAAAGCATTAACTAACTGCCAAGTCTGAGGTTACGTAGCTGTTTATGGTGTCTACTTCATGCTGCGCGACTGTTACAAAACAACTTGTAAAACTTGTAAGATGCAAGTCACAGTGGTGTAATTCACTTTTATAAAGGTTCATAAAAGAGCCACTTACAGTTTCAGCTCCAGGTTGTCGGCCTCTGCTTTTGTCCCGTACAGCGAGACGGTGAGCGAGGGCTCCATCTCTGAATGGTCAACGTTACTGAGGAAGTGGATCTTCAGCTGATAGTGGTAAACTGTAGAGCAAAAGGACATGTGCTTACAACATTATTATCAGATCAAATGTAGCTATTGGAACATTTCTCTGTTCACTCACCTCTGAAAGGCATGGAGGCTCGCGTGTTAGTGAACATCTGAACGTTGCGCGCCCTGCGGACCTTGCTGATGCCGTAGCCGACCGCGTTGCAGCGGCTTTTTCGACAACTGAGACACATGCCACGATTGAATGTGTCGCTGTTGCTGCATCTGTATGCCTTTCCTGCTTCCTGCTCGTTCAGCAGCGAGTCGATGAAGAGGTGGATGGAGCGCTCGTGTTCACATTTCACTGCGTCTGTGATAGCTGGATGGGAAGATAGAGGGTAATATATTTAATTTAACACATCAAACATACAAATTAAAATTAAAACAAATTGAAGATATCTATAAACCTGTTGAGCCAAAATGACTGAAATTACATTTTTGTTTTCAGCCCTTTTGGGGGCTTCTATTTGTTTTCAGAGCTCATTGTGCAACAAGAAGCTACAGTTAGGATACGGAACAATGTTCTCTATTTGCTTTAAATTATAATTGCCAAAATGTGCATTATAATCTCTTTGCAAAGGCAAATTAATTGCCCAGTGATTGGTTTAACTCACCAAAAATCCCAAGGTTAGCGATCTTCTTCAAGGCTCCCCTGAGGTTACATCCCGGCTGGTAGCTGCCTCCATTGGGGTAAATGTCAACATGGCCGACAGGCTGCTGGATCCCGATGCTGAAACCCAGCGTGCCCCGTGTAAAGGTGTGGAGCACGTCCACAAAATCAGCGTCATCTGGGGAGAGACGCCCGTGGGCATGCTCCCCCTCAAAGTCAGGACCGGCTGGGTCCAGGCCTGCATACAGAGATAGCTATGACTATACCAATCAACTCAAAATGAACTAGAGTTTTACTAAATATTCATATGTTATATGTCTGGATATTCTGTTTAGTTTACCAGTTATTCTTCCAACTTTATTGGTTGCATGGCTTCCAGCAAATCCTGCCACATGAGCCCCAAGGCTGTAGCCGATCAGGTGGAGGTTCTCAAGAGGCATATTGGTTGTTTCCTTTAAAGTACAAAAAAGTGAGACAAAAGCTTCCTGGATTTGGTAACTTGATGTTTCAGTACAAGCTGTGATTGTACTGGTACAGCTGTAAAAACAAAACTGATTCCAGGGAGTTGTTTGGCACAACCTGTTACAAAGTTACTGATGATTACATCATTCAACTGTCTCCTTACATTACATCTGTGGTAACTAGTCTTTTACTGTCTCAGAAAAGTAGTAGATTACAATAAGGAGAGGGTCCACAAGTTACTGATTGTCACTTTAATAACTTGAAATGGGTTTGATTTTATGAGAAACTTGACAGTGTTTTTTTCAGTAACATATGTATTGGCTTATTGGTAAGAGGAACACACTGGATTGTGAATTCAGTTTTTAAGCATTTTTATAAATCTTTACTTAGTTTCCCTCTTTACTGCCATTGCGTTGCATCACTTTAAGGCAATGTCAACAATAAACCTTTGGTTTACTTTAAGTAAAGACGTAGTGAAAAAATGGAGAGAAACCAGTACATTTTTTTTTATTTGACTCACCTTGATCCAATCGATGAAGCGAGCGACCTCCTGTCCCACTGCTTTGGTGTTCTGAGCTGCCACCCCATAGTGGTTCTGTGCCGAGTAGAGCCAGTCCACCACGATCACGTTAGCCGTCTGCTCTCGCTCATACAGCGCTGACACAAGCTTAGCCACCCAGCTTTCAAACAAGCCGCTAACCTGTTGGAATAACAGTCAACACATTGAACTTAATTAGAAAAATAAAACTTAAAACATGAATTGCACTTCTAGGCTGCTCGGTAACAATTTCCATATTGGGGACATTGTAGCCCTGTATTATTGATCATTTCTCAAGCAGTAGTTCATACAACTTTTTGCTTGTGAAGAAAGTTGTGAAATGGCCAGACTTTGAGGCACCTACATTTAGTGATGCCATATTGACGCACGACTAGTCACAGGTGTTTGTTTTTTTTAACACAGCAAAGTTAAGTGAAAAAAGGCCTCTGGCATTTTAATAACAGTGGGCCTGTCACAACAGGCTTAAGAGTCTCAGCTCACCGTCCATCCATGGATCACTAAAAAGGTTTTGGAGGTGCTGTTGAAGGTGCAGGCAGTCAGGGAGTCAGGGTTACCAGGAAAAATGTAGCACAGGTCATCGTCAGGATGGGATGGTTTACGGAGGGAGAATTTGGCAGTAGTTTGATTTTTGTCATCCTTAGGGTCAAACAGGTCCCTCAGAGGGTCGAGGAAGCTACCTGAAAAAAGAGAAGGTGAAATATGTATGTTTTTGTATCACAGGAGGAATTCCTTTGCTGTAGCTGGTGTTTGTATCAGATGTGTAAATCTGATCTAATGTTCTGCATGGGAAGTCCAAGGAGCCTCACCAGCTAACTGAGTAACTGGTCAATAAGCATGGGCCCCTTGAGGCCCCTCCGAAAATGAGCTTCCACCTTAGACGAGATAAATCCTCCAAGGTTACAGGGGTTCACTTGGTCAGACCGAGCTCCATAGAAACCAGCGCTTTTTCCCTCGCTTTGTTCCTGCCATCTCACCCACTATAATCTGCCCAAAGTTTCAGAGGTTCTGGCGCAGTCAGCTAACTCAACTCAATTGGGGGTAGTGCTGGTTTACAGAGTTGGGGGTGGGGAGATGGATGAAGGAACTGCACAGATATTTACAAGGCTTACATTGCAAAGGGCTTGAAGCAGTTTAGAGGCCATATTGTTAATAAATCATTTAAAAAAAAACACATTCATATTGATTATTCAGTACCCTGAAAGTGTTAACCACAATACTTATGGCCAGTATTAGAGAGTAGAAGTCGGGCATTTGCCAAAACAAAGACAAGTATAGTCAAAGACACGTGGTTCCCTGTTTCTCATAGACGTTAATGTTATTATCAGAATCCAAACTACACACACATCCGGCTCATAAACAACAGAAACACTGCGCACAAATTAACAACAAAGAAACATTCCACCGTGAGTGTAGGCACGTTTATACCCGCCCAAATCCTCCAGTTCCCACAAAAAGAAAAGGTGTGGCGATGAGCGCTGAAGTAAATAAGGATGAAGCGTAAACTGTCAACTCACCAGAAATAGAATTGGCGAGCTCTTCTTCCAGGGACGTCACATATTGCACAGCAGCGTTCAACACCAGAAAGTACAGAAACCGAACTCGCCACGCTTTCATTTCTTTCACAGCTTTTTACTTTGAGAGAAAACGTCTCAAATAATGAACTGACTCAAATAGAAGAGTATATTCCTCCTCGGAGTGATTTCGGTGCGTCCTGTTGCGCGCAGAGCGCTGATATCTGAGTCTCCTTCAACTGTCCGCGTCTTAAATAGCTCTTCTGACAAGCCATTGGCTGCTGACCCCCGGGCGGGGAATGGAAAACTCTGTGTAAAGTAAATCATTAGACTGCTTTACCACCGTGGCTGACCAGGAGACTTCTTATTTAAACCATTAAAAATGGACTTTAAATGTTCTAACTGTATTAACTTTGTGTTTCTACAATAGGCTGCTAAAGGCCAAACATGACGATTTAATTACACTGACATTGCATGTTGGACTGATTGTTTTGGACAGTTTGATTCAACAAAAGCCTGGTGGATAATTGGTTAAATTATTACTCTATAGGCGTCATTGAACTGATCTTGACTATATACAAAAGTGAACTGATTTCATGTTTTAGGTGAAAAGTAGCCTATTACTTAATTGCACAACAAAACCATAAACTCATGCAGAACATAATGCACATAGGTCTGCATGTTATCTTAAATACTGTCAGTGCATTCTAAGCAAACAATTATTATGAGAACGAAACTTAAAATGTAGGAAAAAGAGACAAGAAATATTGACAATAATTTAGCATGTTTGAAGTAAGTTTGAGGTTGTCCATATCATCCAAAAAAATCAGTAGGCCACCTTGAGGCCCCTGGTTTAATCTGTGGTTAATATTTACAGTTTAGGAGATTCAGGTCATCAGTGTTTCCAAAGAGGACTAATTAAACAGTCATTGGTTGGCTACATGTTTGTCTCTCCCACACATTCGATGAAGCAGGTAGCTTGGCTGGATGCAACAAGGGTACCTCCTAAGGACACTTGGGTCTCCCCTTTACTGATCTGCTGTTGTCATTGCATCAAGGAGCAGGTAAAAGAGAATAAAGAGGAGAAAAACAACAGCATCAAGAAGTGTCACGTTTTACTTTGCTGAAGGTGAAGAACAGTCTCTCTTTTTTTATTATTTTACAAAAAGTACCCATAATTATACATTTATAAGAGCCCCAAATTCATTTAGCTTTGCACTCTATAAACTTTTCCACTCACGATGAATGGTTTGTAAAAATTAAATAGTTGAAAACTAACCAGAGCATCTCTGCCAACAACTGGGTAGATGACTCAGCTGTTTCACGCTAGTAGCAGCTAATGAAGCTGTAGGCCATTATCCATTCAGGTAACATTCCTTGAGTCAGTTCATCAGGTTTTGTTGCAGCACCCATGTCTGGCATTAATAAACCACTTCTTCACAACTTGGAGTTGCAGGCTACAGGGTTGGGAGGGAATTTCCCTTAAACCTGCCTGATGGTCAAGGGGTTTTACTGCATGCATGTCATTCCCCACTCTCTCCTCCTGATATCCCACTCCACTGTCCTTTCCTTTAAAATAATTAATCGAGATTAACTTTAATATCTAGATCAGTGGTACTCAGCCTTGTTAGACTTAGGAGCTACATTGACCAAAAAATATTTCTGCAAGAGCAACAATCAAAAAACCTCTTTCTTTCCTAAAATATGTGTGGGAAAAACAGTGCCATGACTTGCGACGAATAATTTCTGCTGACAATGTTTCCCTTTTTTAAATAATTACTTTGGATTTTTTTCTCCAAGTACGACATAAAAGAGCCACAACTAGTCCCAAGTGAAATTGCAATAAACCAATGCTTATCAATAATCTTAATTTCACATCAATGTCCAAGAAAACATTAGTACTTCATAAAAACAGCAAAATATATGAATAGTGGGAAGAGGTGTATTTACCGTCGTCAGATTTTTATTTTTATTTTTAACACAGTCAGTCAACCTATAGGCGAACTACCTGTTGAAGACCCCTGTCCTAGATATTCAAAAAGGAAAAAATATCAAGTTTGGGTATTTAAAAGATGTATTGACTACTCTTTATGTAAAAGATTTTTGTGACCGCACGCAAATTTCAGATGCTTGAGCTTGAGCCATATGGGAAATGCTCATACTCACAACATGGGTTAAAATATTTCCAATTCTTGGATCAAGACATTTGCTATCTGAAGAAAGTGAGCTTTCAGAACTCAAGATAATGATATACACTGTATATAGCCTGTTACCATGACCAAAGACGAGGTCGTCACTTATGATAAGGATACATATATACATTAATCCCACAAGGGGAAATTACTTTAACATTGTGTTTTTGGGAAATTGGTTTTGGTGCAATGCTTAAGGGCAGCTCGGCAGTGCTCAGAAGTGAACTGGCACCTCTCCAGCAACTAGAAAAGTTTCCAGACACTTTAAACCTGAGCCTTAACCCATTGACTCTCTGTTTCCCAACCCAAGTCCCTACAGACTGAGTTATTGCTGTTAAGGATTAAAGATCAGCAAGCACTGTTAAAAGGCGTCTTAACAAGTGTAGCTAGCTACTGATTAAAGCTGAATATATAAGACCCAAGACACATGTATTTAACTCTTTACTTGTGGAGGATGTCAGTTTGATTACTGTTAAGATGCAAATCCTCCCTGACAGTCATGCAGATTTGAACATGTGTCTGTCTTAGATGTTACAATGCTGATTTATGGTGATTTTGTTGAGAATTGTTTTGATTAGTTATTTGATGCTAACAAAATGGCTAAATGCCATGATTGACAGTTCTGTCTACAAATGTGCGCTGTGTGTACTGGATAGGCAGAGCACAGAAGGGACAATAAGAGGATACCTAACGTAACGTTTCAGTAAGTTGTTTTAGTATAGGCAAGGCAAGGCAAGTTTATTTATATAGCACATTTCAACAACAAGGCAATTCAAAGTGCTGAGTATAAGCTAAAGAGGTGGGACATCAAAACCATGGCAGAATATACTTTGCAACACTGGCTTCAAATGTCGTCACCAGTTCAATATGCCAGCGCCTGTCACTGGGGGAATTTCACTTCACTTTTGTACAACAGGAGGAGGTGGAGTTTCGTCAATCTTTCTATACAGCTAATAGTACCATGGATAAAAAAATGTTGATGAGTGTGCCTCACGGCTCACAATCTGTAAAGTCCTTGTATTGTGGTTTGCAATGAAGCTAACTTTCCCACACTGCCTTATATATTAGTTCCTATCTCTTTAACCCTCTGATCTTTCAACTCCTGCATAGAGCACCTTATTAACTAACTGGGCAAATATGTTGTTACAGGCCAGCTGGGGATTATGTGCTAACATTCGGGCCAAAGTAAGTGGCTTCACAGCGGCTGATTTGTTGCCCAAAACTCCAAGAAGAGATGCCAAAATACACTAGGCAGGGAGCCGATTGTGTGATGGTTGAAAAGTTACAAATCTGTTCATGTGAAGGTCAATTGAACAATAAAGTTCCCAAGCATAGTAACACTTTCTACAACAAACCAAAGATATTGAAACCAATTAAGAGCAAGCAGTCTGACAGTTCCACAATGACTAATCAATGGAACAACATGAGGATTAAATGACTGACTTGTCATCCAAATGTAAACACAAGATGAACAAGTCTGTAAACATCATAATTCAGTCTAATAAAGAGCTTTACTCCTACTCAATTAAAATGTGTTTCAGTTCCATTGTTATGGATTAAAACATTTGGATAAATGCATTTGCATCATGCAAATGATTGACCTGTCATATAGGACCACTACATCATAGCTAAGCCCTTGGACATGTTTTTAAAACATTTAATATATCTCATGAAGTAATCAAAGCTGTTAAAATGAAATATCAAATGCTAAAATGTATACACCTATTAAGTGTTTACAGGACTAGTTTTATGTTTAGCTATGCTAGTGCCTTGGCTCTTTCACATTATCCATTACTTGTTGTTGCTGGTCCAAACTGACTGGTAGTCCGCTGGCTATGCCTCTGACATAAAAACAGTAGTTGAACTATTGTGTGCGAACAACAAATATCTACAAAGCTTATGACATTCCTGTCAGCCACAGCTGTGCTTCCTTGTAGTTGAGCGGTGACGAATAGGAGAGTGACTCTAATGCCCGATGTTCACAGAAGCGATATGTTGGACAACTCAAAAGAGTTTGCCAACTTATTGTCTTACTCTTAGGTTAGATTCCTGAGCTTATCCCAAGTTAAACACATTATCACATGACCAGATTTACACAATGATTTATGTGGTTGATGACCAAAAACATCACCCACAGAATATTGCATTTTCTGCTTAAGTGTCATATTGATATTGCCTTTAAACTTCCTACCATATTTTGATTGCCTCGAGCTGAAGCTGATTTCTTCTTGTATAACTCCCTGATGATCTGCACAGCCAGTCTGCAGGTCAGAGGCGGAGACGTCTGTGCAGGCTAATGAACAGGTTTTCAAAGTCATTTCGTGGCCTCAACAACACTTTCAACGAACCTCAACAAAGTCACGAGGTAATGTTTCCATGACCACAGCGATCAACATCAGCAAAGTTTAAAGACAAAAAAATACAAACCTGGAAACAGTCACTAAATGGACACAACTGACCACTAAACAGATTATGAACACCTGTCACTTGTCTGATTTTCCATCAAGCAAAAAGTCTGTTAATTGTACCTAATACCTAAAAAAAGGTATTATGAAGACAATTAGAATCTGAGAGAGTGGGAGTCTGGAAAACTGTCAGTAAGAAACGCTTCTTCATCTTGTCAATAAAGTTTATATAATGCTGATCATTAATTAGCGTCTGGTTTGATCATTGTTTAATGATTTCAATTTTTTCCTGAAATGTAAAACCTGATAAATAATTGGATTGAAGAAGCAGAATCAGCGTTGTAGGCTGCAGCCACGGTGTTTAACAGCTTACTCTGCGTCAGGCTAAGGCTAAGCTGCTTGACAAAGAAGGGAGACCTTCTTTAGTAATGTTAGCTCACATGTATAATATCAGAATCTATGGCATACCCGAAGAATAAAAGTGTGATAATCTCTAGCACAAAATCCGCCAACCCACAGGCAAAGCCCTGAGCCATCATTGCCAAGTTAGCAAGCTAGGACATGGCAAAGGAAGGATCTCCTCTACAACGCTTCTATGTTGACCACAGTTACCCATCTACTATCATCAAACAACACGCTGAATATGCTGAGTTGAAGAAATGTAAAAGGAATAAAATGGAACGTTTCAGACCCCCTCTCACCAAAACTAAGGGATTTCTACAGTTATGCCTGAATCAGACAGAACCTAAGCAACAGAAGACATGGTTTTACAATCATTTTCAGTCAACATTAAACTGCCGCAGCCAGCCCGGAATAACAGGAGATTAAACTCCTGTCTACAAAGCCAGGGGCCGCCGTGCTAGAGGATCAACCATGACCCTGCCCCACCACAACAGAGAAGTAGGCGGATATAGTTAATTAAATTCATGTTATGGAAAAAATAACCTCCTCACTTTGTTCACAAATGGACAGGAGTACTCAAATGTGGTCAAGATTGGTTTCAGTCAAGGACACACTAACAGCATTATGAGATAATATACTATTATGAATGTTACCCCCCCCCCCCCAATATGTTAATGTGTATGGTGTGATGTATGTATATCATGCATTATGTTTGTTGGACTTTTTGATATATTTCTGCTATTTAATCCTCTGCCATAAAACATAGAAAACATATTGAACTGTCTCCCTACATTCTAATGAAAACCAACTAGCTAGCACAACAGTGAACTGTTTGTATTTAAATTTAGCAAACCTTAAACCAGTAGCTTGCATTTATAAATCTTATTTTGATTTCGCACCAGAAGTTGAGAAGCTCTAGAACAAAAGTCACCACATTTCATTTTATACGTCATAGTCAGCATTTGTACTCAGTTGTGTGTAGAGGATGAGATCAGATAACAAAACACACTGATAATACTAACATGTAGAATAAAGTACAATTGCCTTAATACTGTACTTAAAGCAGAGTTCTGAGATATCTGAAATGTTCTTGAATATTAATTTTTCTGACAACTTTTCACTTAGACCTTAATAAAGTTTTTATGCTGAAAAAAAAGTTTGTATGCTAAAGTATCTTTTTTTTACTTTACCTTTAATGCATTAAATGTGTCATCATTGTCCAATCCCTTTCAAACATCAAGACCATTTCAGCTATATAGATGAGATAATACCACACACAAAATAATCCTTGACATGTGCATCAGTGCACATCATGAACCACAGATATAACACTATGATAAAGCACATAGCATAGAGGCTAGCCCATTAAGAAAAGAAACAGACATGAAATGGAATACAGTGATTTAAGTCTGATGTATCAGTCTGCCAAATACGACATGTGGTTCAAGTGACAGAGCTTGTACTTTTTTTCTTCGGTCAAAAATTTAATCACTTCTTCTACTTCTATCAGAGTATCTGTTCTTTATCTTGAGTAAAGATTGTGTGTACCTTTACCATCTTCATCTTCTGCTTAGGTTCAGCAATGACACTAGGACAAGCCACAGTCGTTGTGTTAACAATTAATACAATTTGGTGATGATATCCCAAGAGAACTGTGTATGATTATGTGTTTTAGGCATTAAGAGTGTTTTTATTAATTTAATGGAGGTTATCTTCAGTATTTTAGATGTTCAAATTCCCCCAAATATGAATCATAAATACCCCTTAATGTTTGTCAAATTTCAAGGCAGTGCAACTTAATGCCTAATGCAGGTCCACAATAATTTGACAATTTATTTATATTATTGTTTAATTATTATTGAAAAGTAACTTGAGCAGTCAGGTTTATAGAAATATGTGCATTATCTCTTTATTAAATCTTGGGCTCTTCATTTAAACAGTGCACTGCATTTCAGTTAATAAAAGTAAATGCACTTAACAGCTGGCCAGGAGACAAATTTGATTGATCCTTCCAAAGCCTTGTGCATAAAATCACAAAATGCATCATTTATAAAAAAAGAAAATACAGATAAAAACGGAAGCCTGCAGAGATATATATTACAGCTTAATACACAAATATATAAATGTACATTTAATAAATACAATGAGAAGTATTCTTGAGCTGTAATATGGCTATCATGTAGGCCAGTTCAGCACAAATCACCTGCAAGTTTACCCAGAGTTATTCAACAATGTGTGACCTTTCAAAATAAGGGCATGTTGTTGTCTGAGTCTGTGATGTAAACTGTTTGCAAGGAAGACACTGTTGACCCAATTAAGAAGTGAAAAGGGAGCACCTAGATATAACTGGACTTTAAAAAGTGACCAAAGTTCATTTTCTCAAAAGAAAAGACCAAAACTATGACATGCTTATTTATCCCAATCTTATTGACCTCAACATCTGAATGTCTTCAAGGGACAGAGAGACTTCTAAAGTGACCAGTGACACAATAACCAAAACAAAATCAAAGAAGAAGCAAGGCTTCAAGAGATCCAATATTAACAACTCATATTCAAATAAAAATATATATATATGTATATAATACTGATTGAAATAGGTATTTACAAAGACTGCTGTTATTCTGTGTTCAGTACATAGTAAATACTTCTTTGGTCCCTGTTGATTATTGACTATTAGTAGTTAGGTAATGACAAAAATGAAGGATGAACGATCATTGTGTACATTTAAAAGATAAAAGGAAAAACAATAGGATGTGCCTAAATTGTGCCTTTCACTCTGAATCATTTATACATGACCAATAATCCAAGTTCACATAGGCAAATAGAACACACCCACACAAAGTACATCAAAATCACTATGAACAGTACATGGTCTACAAAAGCATACACATATGATTACAAAGATATGCAGGAAAGAATAGTAAAGTTTTGTCATATTTGAGCACATAAGGACAAAGAACACCAGTAACTTTTATCAGCAACACAGTTTTTAAAGAGAGAGAGAGAGAGGAGAGAGCTGCTTCGCCAACTGGTTTCCAGCTCTGTGGATGAGGTTGTGCTGGAAGCACTGGGAGCTGAAGTGATTTGGCACAGCAGAAAAAGAAAATCAGAAGCATTCTGTAAAAGTCCAGCTACTTGCAAAGATGTTCTCAGTGTTTCTGTGTGCTCTCAATCTTTGGCTTATGAATGTAGAGATGAATGATGTGCACGATGGGAAGGTGGGTGTTTACGGTGCAATTTTCAAGGCTCGTTCTGCCCAAATGAGCTGCCTTGCATTTTCAGTTTGTGCATCCTGGAAAGAAGAGAAGACATAAAGTAAACAGAAGAGAATTTGTCTCTGACAATATATAACAAGGCTGACGGGAGAGTCGTTGATTAAGGGTGTCATTGTAATCAGTCAAGTGTTAAAAGTCAAATGTAAATTGTATTTTGTTGGATGTAAATGTTAAGAAGTACATTTTGGGAAGATTTTTGAAAAAAGAATCTAATGCATGAAGAGTTCTTCTTAACTTACTGTTTCTCTTTACGGCTCTGTATGTCCTCCTTTGACTTAACAAAGATTCCACCGTCTCCTCCTCTGACGAGGTAGGCAAACTCTTCCTCCTTTGCACTGAAGATCACCCTGAAATCATACAGGGGAAATGTTTAAAACATAAATTCTATATAAAATGACTATGAGAAATAATAAGTCTGAACAAAATAAAAGGCATGGTATCTATGCTAGAAGTTTCCCCATTACCCTGTGTTTTAGTGAGCTCTAATAACTTACTTGGACTGGTACTCCCCAGATTTGATGCGCAGTTTCCGGAGGTGGAACTGGCTGCTACTCCAAAAGTCTGTCCAGCTTAAGATAGCGTCTTTCTCCCAGCGGAGCTTCACGATCATTAGTTCTCCAATGTCCACATCAGTGGTGATGAGGAAGGACAAAGTGGTGTTACTGTTCAAGACCGGCCTGTAGAGTGAACAGAAGAGCAAACATCAAAGGTCTGTTGCTCAGATTGGAAGCAGTAAAGGCATCTGTGTTATGTGTTCATGCATGTGCATGATGTAAGCAGCAGCCTACATACTCATACTTCAGTGTCAGGGTAAATGCAAACACTGTTGCTGACCATCTGTTTTCTTTTGTACATGTGCGTCTGCGTTTTTTTGTTTTTAAATTCTGATGTGTTTAAAAGTTGTACTCTTTCATTTTACTTACAGGACGAAGGGAATGTCCTCCTTCTCTCCATGGGTTCCAAAAAGAGAAATCTTCATTGGCTGCTCTGTGAAGCTCAGTGGGTCCTCGCTGAAGAAATGCGCCTTCACCTGATAGTGAAAAACTACAAGAGGAAAAGACTGTTTTTGCACTTTAAAGACACACTCACACTACTTGTAATGCGCCAACAACATATCTCTGCTACTTAGAGTTATAACACACCATGAAAACCCTTATGTAACCCCCCCCCCCCGATTTGTGCTTAATCTTGTTTGGCTTCCTTCAGACATGCTCATTACTACTGGGTATAACTATTTGACAAGACATGTTTGCATCTCTTACATATGAGCATCATTCACAAAGATGACTTGTGCCAAATAGTAATTCTTAAATAAACTTTTCCATTACACATGCAGAGGTGTTGCATTACCTTAACGTACCTCATGCAACTAAAATACATGTGACCTCTTCTCCTTTTCACTTCCATCAATTCCATTCACAACAGACTCTTAATATATGCAACTCGAGGAATGTGCATGAATTTTCTCCCCTTTCGCTAATCCCTGCTTAAGTACATAAACCCAAGTGGACACTTTTTACAGTTCAACATTTTTCTTGAATTGCAAAAAGACAAACAACATCAACAAATGCATTTTTTACCTTTGTAGGGCATCATACCACGTGTCTTGAGGTACATCTTGGGGCTGCGGGTCATGCGGACCTTGTTGATGTTGTATCCGAGTTTGTTGCAGCGGTTCTTCCTGCAGCTCAGACACAGTCCCTTGTTAAAGGCCTCTTTGGAGGTGCATCGGTAAGCCATGCTCTGCTGCTGCGTGTTGAGCAGGGAGTCGATGAACAGGTGGATGGAGCGCTCGTGGGAACATTTTACAAGCTGGTCCATATCTGCAGGGATTAGAATACAGAAACTGTCAAAACAAAAAAAAAATGCTAAGCCACTCTAAGATGACATCATTCGACAAAGAAACATATCCCCTGTGTGGTGAGTTTATGATCCTTGTCATGTCAGACTAAAGGCCATCCCAGATGGCATTTCTAACTTGGTTCTCCCTCGCGCTGTTAAAACAACAGCTGAGGGAGGGAGCAAGAAAGACATCAAACAAGACTTTCATCTTTACACCAGATGAAACACAGCTGTGACCCTCTGTAACGATCTATGGTCTGTTATGACAACATGACATCGTATTTAATTTACGGCCCTGAAAGCTTTTATGAAGTGAAATTACACAAGTCCATTTTAATGACTTGCAAGAACATTGTTGTTGCAAATCTTTCACTTAACTGTGGGCAGGGTTGTGGATTTATGGTACACAGAGATGGACAAGATTGCCACCAGTAGGTCTGAGCCATTTGAGTCTAATAATAAGGGCAGTTGCATGTCAATGAGAAGGTCCGAAAGCAGGTCATCAAATGAAAACTCCACTACATTTACAGATGTTTACCTAACCCTAAACATGACCTCAAGCAGAATTAGGGTAAGGAAGGAATTAAAGTATTGAAGGTACATACTTTGGAGGCCCTTTAGGCCTGCAGATGCAATTCCCAGTAGGGTATTCTGGATGTCACAGCCCGGCTGGAAAGTTCCTCCATTGGGGTAAATGTCGATGTGGCCCACAGATCTTTGGATACCGATGCTGCGATCTGGGGAGCCCCTGGTGTTGGTGTGCAGGACGTCCACAAACTGGGCGTCGTCTCGGGACAGGGTGTTTTGGTTGTCTGCGTGCTCGAAGGTAGGACCAGCCGGATCCAGACCTGGAAAAAAGAAGGAGGATGGGTAATTGGCAAATCCTCAGAAACATGTGAAGGAGGGACTGTGGTTCTGTGTGAATCCAATAAACATATCACTGTTCTAAGCAGGTCACAGAGATTGTGCATTATAAATTATTAATAAGAGAATTGGACTAGTTATCTTGCGCTGACATGCATATATACAACATGGACCTTAAATGCCAGAATGATTAGATTTTCTTTACTGACTAAAGTCCACACATTACATTACTGTATGCATGTGTATGCATTCAATTGATTGTCTGAAAATGGATTTTGGATGCAAAAAGTGTCAAGCAAAGCTTAAATACCGTAGAATACCATAGATAAAACAATGACACATGATGGTAACTCGTTATCAATGGGTTTGTCAGGAGTTTTTAACACATTATACTAACCAATGAATAATTCACTTTGAAGAAAATCAAAAATTGTTCTATAGCCAATATTCATGTTCCGTTATATGTTTAAACTGAGTGTTTTTATGCTAAAACTTCAGGTGTTTCCAATTTTCACAGACAGAACCAATTTTTGACCCATTTCCATTTATAGAATTTTGCATGCAAGGTAAAAAGCTGATGATGAATTCTCACCTGTAATCCTGCTGATTTTATGGTCGGTGAGGTCTCCTGCAACTCCAGCCGCATGTGCTCCCAAACTGTAACCCAGCAGATGAATCCTCTCCCATGGCAGCTGCAGCTCTTTCTGAAAGACAGACAATGGGTGAGCCTTAAAGCGTTCTTAAGTGAATCCTGCAGACTTGATGGAGAGATTAAATTAATATTAGGCTGTACCAGTCAGAGCTCTAGCTCTGGTCATATGTTATCAGAGTTTTGGAATTTAATCCAAGAAATGTGTTCATTTGTATTAGTGTATGTTTTGCAAAATGTTTGCAATATTTAAACTTTGAAGTCTGGTAAAAAAAAAATGTCTATCATGCCTATGTACCATCTTGCCTTGAAGTTGCTGGAACAAAGACAGAGCTCCACTAAACAGTGAGTGTCAGAACAGAAGCCACGAACACCATCATAAAACACCTTGAAAAGCATTAAAATCATAACCAGCAGGCAACTAAACCCACAGCAGCCACGCTGAGTTCAAAAAACATGGCATCATCAGAAGCAAATTTGTCACAGATTCAGATTCACAGATTTTTTTTCTTAGCTGGCAGATTAACACAGAATGCAGTGATAATACGGTTGTCCAGAAAGCAGTAGGCCAAATGGCCAAATCTGATCCAGCTGTAAGGCAGCTGTCAACTGGCTTACTGTGTGTTCAGGGTAAACACTCACTTGTATCCAGTTGACAAACTTGGCGATGTCACGGCCCACTAGTTTGGTGTAGGCTGCAGAGGTGGGGTAGTGCTGGCTGGCACGGGTCAGCCAGTCCACCACGATCACGTTGGCAGTGGGCTCACGACCGTAGAGAGCAGACACCAGCTTGGGAACCCAGCTCTCGAACATCCCTGTTACCTATAAAACACACATGTTCACACACATTGTGAGGTCAGTTGGAGTATGTATGTGATTTATGCTGGTCTTAACCCTCATTCTGTGTTCTTGAGAGAAGCCAGAAGTCAAATCTTGTTCCATGAGCGGCTCTAAATCACATTAAAAGAGGAGATGTATGTTCTTTTTGCGGAGATAACGCTCTGCTCTCAGGCTGCTTCATTTATCTCAGTATACTGCATGGCTTTTTAATTAGGGCTTGGCTTAACACTAATGATCAGACTGTAGTTGTTATATTTGGTCAAAACGTGTATGTGTAATGTGAAAAGCATTTATGGTATAATTTCACTTTATATGTACTGTATCCAAGAGCAAGAGAAGTTAAAGGAATATTTTCTGCGCTGACACAAAGAAATTTAACTGAGAAATCATGTCTTTCATAACAAGTTTCTATAAACTACCTGTGTTTTTAACGGCTATTCTATGGTAAAACATAAAGTTGAGAGTTGTGCTTTCAGTCTGACGTACCGTCCAGCCGTGTATCAGAATGAAGGTCTGTGTTTCTGAGTTGAATTCACATTCTTCGATGGTTTCAGGCTGGCCAGCCACAATGTAGCACATGTCTTCATCTGGGATGTCTGCAGTGCGCAGGGAGAACTTGGACTGGATGTCACTGTAGTCTGTGATCCATTCGGTGGTGGTGAACAGCGGAGTAGCAGTGACTGTGCTGTTTACTGTAACAACAAACACACAAAGAAATTATCAGATTATAATGGTGTGATAAAAAGGTAGAGTTTGTGCACAGTCTGTCTGATTCCAAATTCTACTTGAAGGACAGCAAATAAACATTATAAGATAGAAAAGTTTCAATACAAAATCGGAAATCTTTTCTCCTTTCTCTCTATAATATAAAGAAACATCTTTTCTCCTCTAAACTGTGGGTCAACCAATCAGGGTATAAAGCATGGCAGTGTCGCCCCCTTTTGTCTGCTTCTTAATTCTGCCTGCATTAAACTGAATAAAAGCTCAAAATAAGAATTGTCTGGTAGGTAATCTTTCATTCAGTTCTGTAAAGTGTAAAAAGCCTATGACTGCGGGAAAAAAGTAGAATGAACACATGTAAACTATTTTGATTTGATTTAGTGAGCCGGATTTGCTGCCTAAACATTCTTTTAAATCGAATAAGTACAATGCTTTTAATTGGAGTAACGTCAAGAAAAGGAGATAACGTCTTTCTCATTAAACATTATTCTAGATTTGTTTTGAATTATTTTAAAAACCGAATGAATAGACCTTAGTTTTAATGTGAAACACTGTGTTCTTCTATGCACATGTGTCCCTCTTTTCAGACAAAAGACATGTAGCAGCGGCTTTTCTTCATGCACACATGGACATGAATGGTATGAAATGGGATGCAGACCTTCAGACCTACAGACTGAGAGCACTTCTCAGGGTTACTCCCGGTCAGTACGAAACAGCATGCACTAATTAACCTGCTCTCTTCGTGTTGACTTCATGAGAGCAACAGATGAATCATGACGATAACATCAAGCCAAACATGTTTTCACAAGTTATTGCTAATAGTAAAGTCTTACCAAAATCAGCAGTTGTGGTGAGTTCAGGGTCAGAAGAAAAAGTTGCCAAGATTTTTCCCAAAAATATCCATACAGTCAAAAAGCTCAAATTTTCTTTTCCCATATTATTAAAAAGTGTTGTTTTGTTTTTCAGAAGAAAAAAAAAATCCTTAATTAAAAAAAAAAGTTATCTGGGTGTCACTCGACCAGATTAAATCCAATCTTGTTTTTTAAACACAAGACACCGGTCAGGAAGTTGTCTTGAGTTGAGGTTTAGGAGTAAAGTCTCTGATGGTCTGTGACAGATACCGCTACAAGTCATCTTTATGGGTGGCTCATTTGAATATGCAATCATGATTGGCCGGAGTTTAGTGGGCGGGGATTAAACTTTGGTCCAGTTCTGAAGGGGAAATCGTTCACAAATTTTTCCACCGTGACGCTGAAACACCTCTGCGCACACCGTGACACCGGACACTGAATTAAAGTCTGTTAACGTTACTTACCGGAACTTTACGTTACATTAAATGCCATTTATTGAGACGTCGAGGCTGTTCCATATTCAAACATTTGTCAGTACCAGTATAACTGCGCTGTTACTGAAAACAAACTAAGTAGGCTATCAAAGTAGTCGCTGCAGGAATAAGGCTTATGTTGACGTATTGAATTAGCCCTCTTAGGTAGACTACTGATTATTAATTAGTATTTACAGGTAGGCCTATTTTGTCGAGGTGGGTTTTTTATTAAGGCTACTTCATTACTTTATTTGGTCTGTAGTCACTCACTCTATTGTAAAATCACAGTATGTAGTAATTAACTATCAAATATATATCATAATAATTCACCTGATTTCACCTTATCTGCAGCCTATAAATAGCCTAGGCTACATGTCATCTTTTGTTACTTCTCTCAGTCTTGTTTTTGTTTTTGTCTTGTAGCCTATTGTTACACCACTAGCCTATGTAATGTAAAACCTCCTTCGGTCATTTGAAAGTCACTATATTAATTAAATATAGGCTAATATTATTTTAAGGTCTGAAGTAAAGTACACGTATGGCTGCTTCAAAGTAGACTACATAAATGTAACAACCTAACCCTCTCATGATGTATATTTTTTATTTATAGTTAACTTTTGTTTACACATTTAAATGAAACTATAAAGTGATGTTTTGAATAATCACACACATTATATGTGTGTGATTCTTTATTGTATTAGACACAATTCTTTGTGTCTTAGCTCCTGGGTGTAAGTAGCACTTGTGATCAAAAAATTCTCTGCCTGCTTTTATATCATAGTGAAATACATCTCTCACGTAGAAAATATAAAAAGGGTCTGTTTTGGCTGAGTGCAGTTAATAACTTTGCCTGACACCCCTCTGCAGTGGTATCTGACATTAAACATTTTTTTAATGTAGAAACAGTCAGTCTTTATCCTCTAGATGTTATTTGCCTGTGTAGGTTGATCTCAGATTCCTAAAGCTTTTGCAGCCAAGTCTGGTGTGACAATCTTAGTGCCATCTTCTGAGCGGAGCATGGTGGGTGTGTTGTAAAGCCCCCTCTCTTATTGGAGGATCACTGGTGAGTGTGACACTCTGAAACAATGGCAAACCTTAATTGGTATAACATAAGTGTCTTGCCCGTGTCCTCTGAATGCAGGTTAAAGTTAAGCTTGCAAGATTTAAAAATAAAATAAATTAAAGAAGAACATTCCCGCATCATATTACATCTTTTAAAATCAGAACAAGATGGCAAGTGCTTGTACAGAACTCGAGGGCACCGGGGGGAACTTAAAAAAGAAGTGCAGATAAATCAGAAACACATGCAGGATGAGAAGCAGCATGAGAGAAATGTGTCTGAGCACATGTGCCAGAGTTTTATGGTCATTTTCAGGCCAAAACATCTGCATGAGAAAATGTTACACCGCTATAAAGCGAGGGTAACAAAAGCACACTGACCTATAGCCCAAATATTTCCCCACCATAATATTATTGCACTCTATGTTCTCTGAGAGATGCACCCAAATATCACCTACTGTTTGGTATGAAAGGATACAGTTTCTTTGTTTTGAGGTGTGATTTTTCTTTCAGAGAGTCTATATGAGAGGCTCACTTCCAAAAACATTTTTCTTCTAAAGTCTGTGAAAAATCTAAACAAACTAACTTATGAGATTTAGATTAAGAGATTACAAGGGGAGCAGGAATCTCAAAGAAGGCCATACTGTTTCCTTTGTTGCTGTACTTTTCTTGCCTTGAAAAAACAATGCACAAGAGCAGTGTGTTTCATCTGTAGCTTCCAAGGGTTCGCCCATGCTTAATCACATGGACATATACAGGTGTGTTATATACGTATCAGTTCAGGTGACTGATCATCACAATATACGCTATTCAGTGTCATAACCTCGAACAAAAACTATAGCGTGTATCAAAACAACGTGATGTGATAAGTAATTTTTTTTTTTTTTATAAATTGTTTTACATGTTTTTTTTAAATACATAGTTACAAGAATAACAGCAATTCGTGTCATTTAAACAGAGTGATCAATGTCCTCTCCAATGGGGATAACTGAATAGAATTTGCTGAATACAGTAAATAGTTCAACTCGGTGCTGCAGCTGTCTCTCTGCCACTAAATTTGGAATGTGGGGGACCTTTAAGTGCCCCACTCTCCCTACACATTACCTGTAGGGAGACACAAGTTATCATTTTAAGTCTTAGAAAATCAAGTGCTTCACTGAGTCCATATGGTTAATTGTATTCAGTTCATAAATCCCTCCCTTCTTAAGAGCTTGTTAATCAAGTTGCCCCATCTATTTTTAGGTCAATAAATGGGAAGGAAGTGGCCGACCCACGGTTTGCTCTTTGTTTTAGACAAATATAAATGTAAAGTAAGTTGTGCGAAATGATGAGGGCTACCAGAGTACCTCAGCACATCTTTTATTAAACTCCAGTCACAGAACTCCAAACATACATCATTACTGATACTAAAAGACATGGTGTGTGCTATGGTTTTAGTTTATGTAGCCTTCAAAATTGGAAGGAACTGCCTGACTTCCCAAAAGTAGAAACATGAACTCCATTGAACCGTCTTCACAAATCAACTGCTGCTTTATAATTGCCTTCTCTAAATACAGCCTGCTGTGTCTTTTATCCTATATTCTCAAGTACATGTATACGTATGTATGTTTAGATGTGTGTGTGTGTGTTTTTCTGCCAGTGATTGTTAGGAAGGTGCTGCTTACTTGCCGACCAGAGGGACCAACCCAGTGATTAGAGAGAAGAGCCACGCCTCTCCTTGAGCCTCTGATCTCTGTGTTCCTCTTAAGAGGATCCTGTTTTTGATGGAGAGAGACACAGAGATAACACAGATATGTCATTTCCTTAATGGGGGTACACCCAGGCGTCGGCAGAATAAGTGAGACATTTCATTAAAAGCTTGAATAGTTGGTACAATCTATGTTACTTTCTGCAAAAAGGTTGGAGATAAAAAAAGCAGAGCAATAAAGATATTGAAAAAGGAAGACTCACAGATATATAGCACAGTGTTGTTATGTCACAGTGTTATGTCTTTTAGTATTTGAGCTTCAATTTGTTTCGAATTGACCTCTGAGACCTACAGAGGAAATTAAAGATCACTGCAGAAATAAAAAAATTTCCTGCAGGGGAGAAATTCCTTCTCTTTCCCCCCAAAGCTTCATCTTCTTCTTCTCTTGGAGCGTTGCAAACTTAAAAGGCTGCACATTCGTTTCACATTCCTCTGCAGAACTGACAGTTTACGTAGGCTACAGCCTGCCTCTTACAGATGTGTTTTAAACTGAATTCAAATATTCAAATGGTTTAAAAAAGTTCTGTTGCCTTGTATGTCTCCGTTTCACAGTTTTTCTTCGTCGTCTACACAGGTGCAACTCAAGTCACATATAATAACAAACTTGCAGTCAACTGCACTCTCTCCAAATATCTGAAAGTGAGACGTAAACATGTGTTTAAACAGCCATGTAAGGACGCACAATCAAACAACAATCCTCAAAGTAAAAGACCTTTTTGATGACTCATTGGGAAGGAAAAAGAAAGCAGCATATATTCTCCAGGGGCCCCACGATGTGTTTGTGTGTGTGTGTGTGTGTGTGTGTGTGTGTGTGTGTGTGTGTGTGTGTGTGTGTGTGTGTGTGTGTGTGTGTGTGTGTGTGTGGGGGGGGGGGGCACCATATGTCTAGAGTATGTGGGGTTTACCCTACAAGGCCAGAAACAGGAGATGTGGCTGCTGAATTTCATGTTCACTGAGTGTTCTTGTTTAGATGTATATCATCCTTTCTTAAAGCATTTTCCTTGCACATTGTTACTTATGCAAGTAGGCCATAGTTTCATTGTTTTTTTTTATTAACACATCACACTGTGTTCTTTCTTTATCTGTGTGTTTCCACTTTGTTTTATTGTCCTACATGTCCAGACACATCAGGAGATGGAAAGACCTTCAGAAAGTGTCCCCAAAGCCAGCCGGAGAGTAAAAAAATGTCGAAGACAGAAGAACAAGTCCTGAATCATGGTTTCACCAACTGTACAGGGTTCATTTCACTTGCGGCATTAAAGCCAAAGAGAGAGCTCTAATTAGGCAACAGCAGAGAAATGTAATCGCTCATTCGGTAACAAATTAGATGAGGGAAAGGATTTGGTGAAAGAAACAAACAAACAAAAGCTCCCCAATAAGAGCTATGTCTTTTACAAGTCTCAAGACACAGTAAGGTGATAAAAGAGCCACAGAAAGGCTTGAGAAAGGGGTCGTGTGTGTATTAGTGGCCAGGGTTTGATTCTTTTATTCAAGGCTGAACAGTTTGTGTTCAACTTTTAACAAGAAAACTCAGTGATGCATGAACTGAGTGCAAGTGTAAGCATGTGTTAAGTGTATTTATGTGCACATGTTTGTGTGTTTATATGCAGCCTACACTGAGCCTGTCTTCTGTTTGTATTCACTGTAACAGTAAACTTAGCGTGCCCCTTTTATGAACCTTTTAAGTCTGAACTTTCCAGTAAAGGAAGAAGGAAGACATCAGATAGAGAAAAGGAGGGAAATCATCTGTAAAACGTTTTCCGTGGAAAAACAACCTGAAACAAAGTATAGAATTTAGATGAGCATAGATTATATTTATCAGCCGAGTCTGCTGTGTACATAATGCAACATGCGCAGAAAACATCCACAATAACCAGCATTTTACATTAACTGGATATGTAGAAGCTTGTGTATAGTATTGCAAATGAAAAGCAGATACAATCTCTTTAGTCTGATCTGCTGATATATG